TTCATTCCAGTGAGAACTAAAGAACCGCTTGTGGGAAGTCGATACGCTGGAGAGAGAGTTGAATTTGTCTTGGCCTTCACATACGCTGATGGATATGAAGCATACAACGTTGCTTTGTTAAAGAAATATCATTGTTTCAACTGCAATAGAAAAGTCGAAATTACAAGTGACAAGTTCTCTGTACAATGCAAATGTGGAAGGGTAGTAACCAAGTCGGATAATTGAATTAGCTGTGTGACTGATGTTGAAATTATTTCGTATGAAATTATATTGATTACTGTTGAAATTTGTGTTTTGTACTTAACTGGTGGTAACATATCAGACAGTCATCAAGGGACCACTTTTTTTCCTTCTTTCATCCGAGTGCATGGGGTTGCACGTCATGACATGACAGTTCTTTCTTCTTTATGCAACTTCAATAAATCAGTTATGGTTTTATTCAGGACTTGATGAAGATTGACATTTATTAAAGTCACGACAAGTGGCTTTTTGTTCATTGGGATTGTGGTTAATTTTCTTGTTGATATTGTGCATGGTTGACTACGAAAAGAAAAAAAAACCAGTTTTATGAAATGATATGAGGCTTTGCAATTTTATTTATCAATTACATTTTATATAATATATCTTTTCCAGTCAGTTAATTATTGAATTGTTGACTAAATACTGCTTTTAATGATTGTTTATGAGGGCAATGGTTTTTATTGATAAAAGTGCTTTTTCTATTCAGGCCAATTTTTTTCCCAAGGGTAAAGAACCTGTTTGGTCTATTTTTAAACATATATTTGCTCATGAAGCTGTGATTTTCAGAAGCTAGACTAAATATGTTCATTTTAGAAAAATAGCGCTGAAACTATAAGTTATGTTTCTACTTTTAACACCATTTTATGTACGGTACTTTTTCAATTTGTTGGGATTATAAAATCTTATGTATACTGAAACCATTTTTCAGCACTCTTTAGCTGAACAAGGTTTGTACTTAGGTTGTCAGAAATAATTGTATCAGTACAATATATCATGATATAATTTAACATGTTAAATGAAGCGTAAAGAAGTAAAGTCTGCATATATTTTTAGTACTGTTGTCTGCTTGTCATCAGTCTTTGAGATATACATTTGTTAAAATCAGGACTCTCTGGAAAGTATGAGCATTTGACGCACAAAAGCAGTGCATTTATTTTTGCCTTTATTTCGACAAAAGAAAGGAATACATGTTTATTTTCATATTTAAATACCAAAAGTAACAAGCAGGTACCTCACCGGAGATTCAGGAATAATTTAGAGTACCAATTATAATTTGTAAGAGTCGATTTTTAAGAGAATGCACTGGATTATAATTCATCTAATTTATAAAATATTTCCAAGCAATAATCTCAATGATCCTTATACCGTTAGGGGTCCTGTGTCAACTCTTTGCCGTTGGACCCCTGACAAATTTCATTCGATATCTTCAGACTGACTGCACCGATGTCTTTCGGGAAAATTACAAATCTTGATTGTTTTTCTCATCTCTCAACCAATCACAGTAAACCTTTCGGTAATAAACAATGCGTTACACGTGCATTTTAGGTGTCAACTGATTCATTTCTGTTTATAATGAAATTTCATCACTTATTTTTCAGTAAGAGATTTCTTCTTGTTTAATGAATGTTTAAATTATCTTCCTTGGCATTATCAATTCATTTATTTACAGTTATTTCATGACCCTTGACAAATTTCATTCGATATCTTCGGGCTTCCTTCTCTCATTGAGAAGCGCCAATCAAGTTGCAGTAGACAGATAATATATACACAGAAAGAAATCAGACGACACCTAAAATGCACGTGCAACGCAGTTTTTTACCGAAAGGCTTACTGTGATTGGTTGAGAGATAAGAAAAACAATCAAGATTTGTAATTTTCCCGCTGCAGTCAGCCCGAAGATGTCGAATGTTCAAATTTTGTCAGGGGTCCAACGGCAACGAGTTGACACAGGACCCCTGACGTTGTCAGGGTGGAAAGAAAATTCTGTGGAGTAAAATCAATTTTAATTATTTTTGAAAATGTTTCCACTGAGTTTTGAACATTCTTATTTCTTAATTTTTGTTAATAATACCTGGACTTGTTTTGAGTCTTAAAATTTTATCACTTGAAAAACTTTTTTTAAAATAAGAGATTTCTCTTTGTTTAATGGATGTTTAAATTATCTTTCTTGGCATGCCAATGAATTATTCAATTGAAGACCAATATAAGGTCTTATAGTTATTTTATAATCCTTAGATGCAATATCCCTGTAATTCTGGTCCATGTATCATTTATAGTTACTTGGGAAATGGATTCTTGGTCGGAGGCGCCCCTCTCTACTTTTCACATATTCATGTCTGTAACGAACATTGGAAAAATACATTTATTTTTACTGAAATACAAAATATACAACAAAAAAAATAACATAAAATAAATGTCAAATTTGCATGCATGTACGGAAATACAAAGAAACAAAAGATCAAGTCCAAATGGAATGTTTAGAAATACGTTGGCAGCAGGGATGGGGTAATTGAAAAAAGTAATTGTAATTGACTGTAATTAATTACATTTTTTGAAGTAATTGGAAGTAATTTGTAATTGAACATTTTTTCAATTACTTGTAATTGTAATTTAATTAATTACACTGAAAAAATACCATGTAATTTCAATTACTTTTTCAATTACATTCAATTACTTTATATAATACACATTCATGATATATTCATGATATATCGTCACCACTACCTCCCCATTTTACTGGTTTTTATTTTATTGTTAAACATATCCTCAATCCTTCATTTATACAAAATCTTAGGTTAATGCTTACAAAATAATTAAATGATTGGCTTGATAATAATAAACTAGTTTCTTTCTAATCATTATGTAAATTTTGAATTTTTTGATCTATGTTTATAAATATGAATTTTGAACCACCTAACTTAGGTCTATTCAGCTATGAAACACACATTTATTATATTTCAATCTTTGTTGTTTGATCAATAATAAAGAAAAAGAAGGTGTATGTCATTAATTAAGTTCTCTCTTGTTGGGAAGAGATAATTGCCCTCCAGATCACAGCTTTAAATTGCAATCAAAACAAATCAACTCCTCTAAAGAGATATTCATTCCATGATTTAGAAGACAAAGCCAATGAAGATAATTATTTCAATTTAAAATGCTCCGCTAGCTTTAGAAAAAAAACCATTCAATTTGATAATTATTTTAACATCTAAACAGATTTTTATGAATGAATCTTCTATCTGTACAATTCTGATTTATGAAGTAAAATTGTTCAACATAAATAGCAATTTAGGATGTTCAGGTTACCTTCAAAGGAAATATTTAATTTGAGGGGTTACAGTTGCGACTCATTTCACTCTATTAAAATACTCACTTTTAATCAAATATCATAAGCCATGCAATTTGTGTACATGTAGGTTTTGTGTGGTGGAAACTGCATCAAACTGATCTCGGATAGTTCTTTAAGGAGATTCTTATTGTTTTGTAAATAAATGTTATAAAATTTAATTAAACCAGAACGATACACAATGCCTATAGCATATTATTTCTTGTACAGTAACTGTTTGTGCAGAGGCTGAGCTTATATACAAATAAATGATGTTCTGTATATTCATTGACAAGGATTATAAAAATTTTCAAAAAATTAAAAAATGTAATTTGTAATTTAATTAATTACTTTTGCAAAGTAATTGTAATTTAATTAATTACATTGTCTTAGAAAGCCTGTAATTTAATTGTAATTTAATTGAAGAAAAAGTCAAAGTAATTGTAATTTAATTAATTACTTTTTAAAGTAATTGACCCCATCCCTGGTTGGCAGATGGAATTTTTTCAATTTGACGTACAAAAACTGTTGGTATTATAAATATTGATGTCAATCTACTCAAATATGCACAAATAATGATTACAATAAAAAAAAAAATCTTAAAAAAAAAAACAGTTGGAGACTCCACTTTTTAGTCCTCAAAGTCAAATATGAAAAGTAATGCAGAACATAATATTGAGATGCAAAAATGTAAATCTTGAGATGGACGAAAGACCTCTATGTCTATCTTAAAAATATCAACTTTAGACCAAACCTAAAGTATACACAACTCTGTGAGCATGAAGAATGAATTTTGCAATAACATTTCGTATTTTAACAACAATATAAAAGTCACTATTGGAAGTTTTGCAATATCATGAATACAGCAGGTATTCCATTAGGAGCCTACTGTATTTTGCAGAGAGCACAATCAATTGCTGAGAAAAATTATGTCTTATATGTATAGCTCTGCGTAGTTTAGAAATCTGGAATACATGGTATATAACTAAATATGTAAACATTTAAACAAAAAAAAGTTTTTTGCTACAGACAGTATAATATTTACATGTCACTCATATCCAATAATTAAACATATTTTTAATACTGAAAAAAAAAAAAAAAAAAAAAAAAAAAAAAAAAAAAGGAAGATTTCTAATATATCACATATTTTTTGCAAAATTGGTACAAAACCTGATTAGGATCACAGAACACTGTAAAATCACAACAGTGCATGACTTGTTTTATCAAAATGTTCATTATCAACAAAATCATTTAAATTAACCATCACAAAACACCCTGATCCCACCCCCCCCACCCCCCCTTTAAGGGGACCGACTTGGGTTTTATTTTGCAAAAACTACAATAGAAAAATTCTTTACTTTTACATTAAATGGAACCTAAACTGACCTATGTTTAGATGCAAGGTTTCAGGAAAATCTACCATTTGGATATTTTCAGGGTCAGTCTTGGAATACAGGTACATTTACTATAGGATTATATAGGGAATTACTACTTTTAGCACAATGAAATTCTACAAAAAACTTTCTGTCCAATTTGTAATAAGTGGTGAGTAATACTATAACATTGATATTAAATCTATGAAACACAAAATTCTACATTCTAATTTTCTAAAGGGGGAATCTAAAATTTTAACAAATTTTCATTTTTTGCTTACTTGTTTTTTTAAACTAATAAGATATGTATTATGGATTCATACAGAAAATTACAAAAAAAATATTTCCACATGTTTTATGACTAAAATTTCAAAGGTCTATATGCATATACTTTTTCTTTTATAAAAATGAATTATAACCTCCTTGTAAAGACGTAATATAATGTCATACTATCGATAAAAAAAAAATCTTTAAAAACTTCTTTATGAAAAAAATTATTCTTTAATCTGTTATATCTTAATTTTATTACATTTGATAAATGATATTAAAATAATTTCTTTTAAAACATATATTTGCTGTATTTTGCAATACTGTGCAAAATATTGCATGATGAAAATCCCCAGTTGGCCACCTTGAAAAAAGCCAAAATTAACAGATGTAAATCTGGCTAATCTTATTGGAGTATCATCTGCAAGACTTGCTTTGTAGCTCCAAAAACATTTTAAATACATGTACATTTTTTTAATTAATCCTAGCTTTATTAAAGAAATAAAAGGAAACATTCAGTTAAATTGCAAGAAATTAACAAGTGTTTGACTTCGGAGTTCCTAACCCCTAAAAACTATTTAGCACCTTAGTTTGCGTTTATCATCATGTACAGACAATGGACCACTTTTTGTTCCTTTGTCAAGTGCTACTTGTATAGTTGCAATCATTTAACCATAACATAAATCTAAAAGTATCAGGTGTCACTAACCATGTTAACATGTGCTTTCAGTGACATATGCATGGCACATAAACCATAAAAATACATGAAGGTATTTCTACTCATTTAATATTGTAAGTGTTTGTAATGTTTTGTCAAAAAAAAACCCCAAAAACACAAATTCTTCAGAAAAAGTAAAGTATGTTAATGACATGTCTGCTTTGTAATATACTAAAAAATAATTACTTGCTCACTGCAGAACAACAAAAATATAACATATTCCAAAAAAATTATGTCAATTAGCCAAGACACAACAAGCACATACAAATACCACTACAGAGTTGTCATTTTAGTGACCTTTGTGGATCTTTCTTCACTGTCAACATCCGTGTTAACTGACACCACAGAGATGGTCTGAGCCATCTCTCCTGTCCCACAAAACTCCTTCATGGACATCACTCCAAACTTCACCTGCTCCACTCCCATGGCAACCCCAGCCCTGACACGGTTGGCTGCAATGCTTCCTGAGTCTTTGATGGTTGTCAAGTACTGGGAACCAGATTCTCTTATGGAATGCACTCGATTGCGGACTTTCTCCATCTTCTTTTCCAAAGTTATTTTCACTTCATTTAAGGTATAGCTGGTGTTGCTTCGACCTTTCTCAAGGTACTCTTCTGGAGTAGGTGTTGCACATTTCTTTGGAGATGACCTAGGTGTCCTAGCAACTGGAGAATTTACAGGGACTTTAAGAAGGGATTCCTCATTTTGGTAAGAATCATCGTAGGAATCTTGGTCATCCAGACTCCTGCTCGATGAATTCTGATCATCCGTATAAACTTCAAAAGTGTAATCCATGGCGACCTTGGGTTTTTCTCTTTGTTCAACAAGAACACAAGAGCATTTACAAAAATGTATTGCACAAAGTTTAATCATTCCAACAAGCAAACCAAACACCAAAGCAGTTAGAGCACTCACACCTCCATATACCATGCCAACCCATTCAATGGTAAAAAGTTTTGTAACAGCAGTTAAGGTTAGGTTTGCTGTATCATTTCCATGACTGTTAATCAGCACACAGGTAAAAGTCCCATTGAAAACCCCTCGAAAGTTGGTAAATGTCAAAGTATTGTTCTCTGTTATGAACAGTTCTGAAAAATCTTCTATACTATGCTTGTATTTCAAATGTGACAGAGTTGTTATGTTTATTTGTTCCAGCATTTCTTGGTTATACTTATGGCTTATTTTTACTCCCTGAGGTGTTATCCAGTATCCAATAGCATAGATTTCAGGTGATGCTCTGCAATGAATGGATCCACTGGAACTGACAGGAACTTCCAGAGAGTTAGTTACTTTATCAATGTGAGGAATATCACACTTTAAATCATTCTGCGTCAAATCTTGTAATTTTGTTCCCCGCATTCTGAAAGGAGAGTAGCAGTCTAGCAAGTCTGGATTGGAAACTCTTAGTTTTTGCTGTGTCAGGAATTCTAGGAAGTTCTCCAATTCACAAGAGCAGTCCCATGGGTTTCCATGCAATCCAATTACTGTGTAATTGTTTATTTCTGATACAACCTTCCCTGATAGACTTGTTAAAGCATTCTCACTTAATTGAAGGGTTTTCAAATTAGTCAAGTTCTGAAAGGTGCCCTCTGCAATCCAGTGTATATTATTGTTTCTCAGATCTAACTCTTCTAGAAAATACAGTGGATTAAATAGACCCAGAGGAAAAGAATAAATCTTGTTGAATCTTAAATGAAGTGTTTTCAAATTAGCTAATCCTTTAAAAGCATCTTTTGGAAAAGTCTGTAATTTGTTTTCACTAAGTGAAAGAATCTTCAAGTTCTTAAACTCACTAAAAGCACCTGAGGAAATTTTCACAATATCATTCGAACTGAGATCTAATTCTTCAAGTAGTCCTGGGTTTCCTACATGAAGCATGTCTATTGTGGTTAATGCATTTCTGCTGAGATCAAGTATTTGAAGTCCTTTTAAGGACTGGACTTCAAGAGGGAATGATTTCAAACCCCCAAATATGTTCAGATGTCTAACAGTGAAAGTTTGGGGGATGGACTGGATAGAGAATCCCTCATAATAAGAGTTGCAGGATGCCTCTTGTTTAGAATGCTCACAAACACAGAACTGAGGGCATTTTGGGCTTGAAGAGTTTTTCTTTGAAGCATGCGTAATGACATCCTTAATGTATACAGACTGGCTGATCATATGTTTGTTCCATGCTGCTATCAAAAAGACAACAGCAAGAACTTTCTGTAGCATCTTCAGTAGTCGTCCATGTGTTCACAGCTGTAATGAAAGAAATTGTAATACAGTGTACAGGCAATGTTACCTCAAAAGAAAAATTTTAAATAGTTACTTGACATAAATTATTTTCATAAACCAGAGAATTAATCATCTAAAATACTCCTTCTATGGTATAATGACACAGTTTTCGGGAGTTGACAATATTTTAAAGGGTACATTAAGCTCTTTTGTTGTCCTTGCCTACAACAAACCCTCTACCATTAAATTGATTTCACAAGCCCGGTTTAGCAGTAAATTTTGTTTAAAGGACTTATCGCATGATCTTTCAAAAATCGTAATTCTATGAAAAATATTATCTACAACCTTGTTTATTAAATACTGAATACAATAAACATTGTTGAAAGCATATTTTAAGAGATATTGAGAGTTGAAATTCAAAAACGGCAATATGCATATTTCAGTCGGATTTCTGCGAAATACAGCTCTGACATCATAGGCGACAATTCAGTGATAGAGAGATGAGAATTATATATATGCACACTATTTATGGAGTTACCAACGACAAATGCAGCTTGATTACGAAAAATGCTGAAAAAATTAATTCCTGACGTGCTTTTTAATTACTAAAGAAACATTAACTAGTTCTAAGGTATAAGGCTTTTGAGATATTTTCGTTTTTTATTCGAAACATTTAGAATATGTACAGCTCTGATTACGGCAATGTTTCGTGAATGGAAAATTATTTTTCATGATCCCCATCCTTTACAAAACATAAGTAAATTAATTTATGCTAAAAAAGAATAACAACGTTATACAATATTAAATTTGTGAACCAAATAAGTTAATACATGTGATAAGATGACAAATCAAATTGTGATTTAATTCAGGGGTTTTCATTGAGCCGATAATTGGTTAATTTACCATGGTTTATCTGCAGTAAAAACAAAAATTTATAAACTGTGGTCATAAGGAACGTTTTACGCTTTTAATTTCAAATAATTTAGAAACATGCGATAAGTCCTTTAATGAATCATGGTAAGAAAGGTAACTGTTAACAGTACAGCTAGTACACATGCAGAGTATACATTCATTTTCAAAATGGCCCATTAAAAATTTTGACATCGGCCATAGTCCCCTTTGACTTTCATGGCCTTCCCAATCACTGGGAAAAAATAAAACCTGAAAAGAGTGACACCTCTCCAAAAAAAACTTGCTAAAGGTATATAAAGTATCAGGAATAGAAGTAAAAGATATGGTACTGATACCACATTCAAAGCGGGGGAATGCATTAAATACAAGAAATAATACCCATTAACGGAAACCATGTTCAAAGCCAGGGAATGCATAAAATACAAGAAATAATACTCGAAGCGAATGAAAAAAAGCTGCAAGATTTGTGGGCTTTTATGATGCATAATCAATGTTCCGAGAGGTCCGGTGCACAAAGAGCAGGAGGAGCAGCATTATTTTCAAAGAACAAGCTATGTAAACAAGCGAGTGGAGCAGACGCCATTACGGAGTCTGTATACCTTTACTCTTTTTTACATATTCAACAAGTAAACATAGTTATAAACCAAGACCCAAGTACCTGTGTTCAGAACCAAGCGCAAGAAACTTTCAACCTTCAAGATACGTACCATGACAAACAGCACAGTTTAATGTTTTCAGTATCAATCTATCTTGCTTTTTTCATGAAGTCTGTTATTCAGTGTTGATCGAGATATTACGGAAGTAACAAAGAAAAACGTCCCACCTATTCGCCTTTCAAAATACACACTGCCACTGAGTGAGACACCATTTGAACTTTGCATTAAAATTTGAGGAATGCTTATGAATGAAAAAGCGTGAATTAGACACCCTTCAGAAATTTACCTTTCCTGATCAGCTGTTACTTCAACTAGTAAACTATTTCGAAAATTTTGGCTCAACACCTGTTATCAGGTGATAAAAGAATTTCCGGTGTATAAATTATTTGTAGAACGAACCCGACAAAGCCATACGTTGTGGGGTTAAGAGAACTTTTACAAATCTACTAGCTGTGTTTACATTAATAATTTTTATTCATGAATAAATAAAAAGAAAAAAAATACCAACCTTAAAACAAACAAGCAGGATAAACCCAAAATTACTTATTTAAAACATGATAAAAGTGATTTTATTTAAAAAATGCTAAATTATCATATATTTTTTTTTATGAAAACAAAATTTTAAAATTAAAAAAAGATATATAGTCACCCTGTTTGAAACAAGTCTTCCTTTATAGTTTACAAGTCCCTATATTTATGCACAAGAAACACTTTTATAATCTGCTTCAGTTTGGATTGCCTAGTATGAAACGTTTACTTGGCAATTATTAATAAGGTTTTAGATAAATAAAGTTAATCATGGTTAAGTGCAGTCAAAAGAATTGTAGTAAATTTTATTTATTTTGAAAGTAAAAATAATTAAAGTTGGGATCGACATCCCAAATATCAAAATCTAAGTAAACAATATGGCGCTCAGTTCAAAACAGGAATCGAAGCAGAAAAGTTTGGCAGTATTATTCAGAAAAAAATTAGATGTAAAGTGTTTACTTGATTTTTTTTAAAACATATTTAACAATTTTAGACTATATGCCATAAAAACATAGGCAACAAAGAAATGTAGCTGCAACAAGATCGAATTCACTGACTTTTTAGAGATATTTTTAGCTGTGATAGTCGGTTTAAGAGCTCTACAGAGCTCATGTTCATTGTTAAACTTTGTAAAAAATGCCGACTTTAAATAAAATTTACTTACTTACTGACACTGTGTTCTAAATCATTATCACGTCTATAAAAAGTTTTGCTTAGAATTTGCAGATTTCAGATCAAATTTCTTTCTGACACAAGTCAAAGAGAGACAACTCATTTATGACTTCAGTTCATTGATAATTTTGTTGTACTTTGTCATATATCATACTTGGTCAAGTCATGGACAAGGGAGGTACTGATTATACCTTTATTCAGTCTCAAAGGAATGAAAACAAATTAGCATGTAATGACATAAATACTTTTCGTGTGCCGTTGTTGTCTCTTACTAGACTTTAACGTTTCTCACCTCGCTGGAAGGTGCACAAGTCAAAAAAGAACAGTTTTTGGAAGAGATGGCAGTACAAAAATTTTAATCTCGACGAATCTCGCTGAGATTATGATTGATCACCCATGCAGAAAAAAATTTCTAAAAAAGATTTATACAATCTTGTCTACTTTCAGTGAAATAGTTGAAGAGGGAAATGAAGTAAAATACCTTGAACATGAAGGGCTTGCTCATAATATTGCATACTAACACTTCAAATAATGCTTGTTGTATGAATAAAAAAAATCTTAAAAATTATTTCAATTTTTTATTAAATCAGTTTCAGTGAATGTCAGTAAGTTGTCGTATCCATGAATTGTTCATTCCATGACTTAATATGTTATCTATAAGTTGTCATACTGAGAAGTCACATTGATGAATTTCTTCAATGTTGGAGTTTTCGATGAGTTGTCATGGACCGAAAATCAACACATTTTCTTAATTTTATTTTCTTAAAATGCATCAAATAAAATAAATCTAACATGTTGACATCAGAACATGGTATATGAATGTGTAGATAAGAATTATCAGCCCCAGTTTATTTTCAAATAATTGCTACATTGTCATCACAGGGAATTATTTTATCTTTATATCGGCTCCTCAGGACAAAATTATTTTAACGATGGAAGATTCTTTCTACATTGAGAACCATGAAGCTATGATGATGTATGATATGCAAAATACTCATTGCTTACTTATAGTTGCAGTTTTTGTTTGAGTTGATGTTGTTACAAGTCAGTCAGATTGCAAGTTGCCTAGAAAGAACCATTGATCCTTATAACATGAAAGCAAAAGAAGTTCAGTTTAGAGGACCGTCCAATATGCAGAAGCCAAAAATAAATGTGGAAAACAAGTATTTCCACAAGATTTCACTTACAAAACTTTTTCATTGTGATTTGGTATCCAAACATTACAAGCTAAAAGAGTAAATATTTGGTGTGCCTCTTATTATGAAGTTAGAATTCTCTCTAATGGCAAGTGATATTTTCTTATTGTAGAAGCTGGGGTGCCCTTATACAGAGGGTGTGTCAGAGTCCTGGATCTCGGAAATGATCTATAAGCCGGGAGAACCAAGGATCAAACTACTTCAATGGCTCTTCTCTAAGTAAGTGTATAAAGTGCAACTTCTTCATTTAAAGTACATGGTCTTGTGGGCATCATCTTACTGATACAGTTACACTTTATACACTTCTTGTAAGTGTATAAAGTGTAATGATAAGTGTATAAAGTATTTCGAAGGACCTTAGACAGCATTGTAATCTCATGTCTTTAGTGTCATGTTCAGCATCAAAAAACCATCTCATGTTTTCTTTCAATTGCCCTGGATTTACTTGCAATTAGACCCCTTTATCATTGCATCCAGGTCAGTTTCACTGCATTTGGGATGCAAATACATATGTACATGCATTAGATTGAAGTTTGATATTTTTATCAAATCTAAAGAAACATGTTTTGATTATGTTGATGATAATGATAATAATTGCCCTGATTGATATGGATTTTTTTTTTTTCAGATTTGATTCCAAGCTCCATGAATACATTGAACCAAGGTTTGATACTGCTGAGTCCAAACTGGACTCGAGAATTCAACGTAAGAGATCAACTACTGTAAAATCACTCATTTTCATGGGGTCAAATTTTTGTGGTTTATGAAAAATTACCTGTTTCAGGGGATTAGAATTCATGGTGAAAGGAGAAAAATCATACTACAGTATGAGATCATGTCTACTACAGTATGAGATCTGAACATTTCGTGGGTCTTTTCATTCATGAAAACATCAAAAAGTACCCACCCCTCCCCCCTCATAAAAATGACTGATTTCACAGTATAAAAAATTACATTTTATGTAAACCTAATTCAGTGTATGTACAATAATTACTTGAGATTTTGATAAAAGAACTAGATTGAACAGTATGCAAAGTTCAAGAATACTTATTACCGTAATGCTAATCGCTATTTTTCTCATTCAAAAAAAAAAAAAAAAAGAAAAAAAAATAGATGAAATTAATCAAACTACAATATTTATACATGAGTTTGAACAAACTTTTATTGTTTTAATCCACTGTTTCCTTGATACCAGTATAATGTAAATGATGAATGAACTACATGTTAATACCAATGTAAAGGCATAAGTTAAGACAGGGGAATATTTTACATGAAAAAATCCTCACATAGTGTAAAGTACCCCAGCTTTTACTAAATGTAACCATGTAATGTACCAGCCAGGTAGTATTTTTTTTAACAATATTCTTCATGAAGGTAAGGAAAATCGAGTTTTGCTGCATTTCTTATATTCTGTCACACTGTGACAGAATATCACTTTTAATCAATAAATATATTACAGTATTTTACTGTTGAAAATGTAATAAATAGAGGATATTCAATGTTTTGTAGATTTCACGAGTGCGAAGCACGAGTGAAAATATAAAAAAAAATCCTGTCTCACGAGTGAAATAAATTCCATATTCATCTACAAAACATTGAATTTTTGTCTATTACGTTTTTTGTAATTTTCCCTTTGCCTCTTTCTTTTCTTAACACAATGTCATAGGCTTCACATCATAGTTGAGCGGTTGAGACGTCATAGCTTACCATTGAAAACATTACATAGCATGGATTTTAGCAACTTATTTGGGAAGAAATTTGCAGTTTTAGCTCTATCAAGATGGTTAATTACTATCTCTATCTTATGACAGGCCAGAAATTATTTTTTACTTACTTTGATATCCTTTCACGCTGTGAGAGAATATCATTTTGGTATCCTTTCACACTGTGAGAGAATATCACTTTTATTCATTATATAAATCACAGTATTTCACTGTTGAAAATGTAATAAATTGTATGATATGTTGTTTTCGTGTCTTAAAGTATGAAAAATACACTGCTAAAGACACAATAATTAAAACATGCATCATCTGTAAGAAATGTGATACTCTGTGTTTTAAAGTGATACGAGGATGTTTTTTTTTTACTATGTAGGTTTACTCTTTGTGGCTTCCACTCTAGGATTCTGTAGATATGATGATGTGGATTTGATCAGGGTATGTCATATGTATATATGTGTACTATGAAATCTGTAATTCCAAACAAAGTTTTTTGTATCATTATTGATTTAATGGCAATTAAATTGACAAGTAGATTCAATCCTATAGTATATAAATGATGATATAGGAACAGGGCTCTACATTAATGTTTGTCCAATTGTCTGTGTTTTGTTCATTTTGTGATTGGATTAGTCAATTTCCACAAATACTTGTTCAACTGGACAAGTAAACTTTTTCCCATAATACGTTCCATTTCCATTAGTGAACTCTTCAAAATTAGAGGCGCGTTTGGTCGTCTGACTGGGACAGCATGGCATTGCAGATAATAAAAAACATGCCAATCTCAATCCAATTTTAAATGTTAAATGTATTAGTCATTCCAGTTAAAGAATAGAAGAACTAAAAAACATGTAAAGAGAGCAAGAACCCTAAATTTATCATCCATTAATAAAAAATACGACTTTTCCGAGGCATGTGTATTGTATTTAGATGTACCATAAGATAAATAGATACATACGATCAACAATAGATATACATGTAAATTGATATCGTTGTCATTCCTACACTTGATGTATATAAAGTCCACAACAATAAAGTATTTCATTTGCATTTTCTTAGGAATTGTTCATCGACATTTAACATATTGTTTACATGTTTATGTTACGTTTGTCCCAGAAATCCCGCGAGATTTGTCCGTTTTCCGACTTTTTCACAAAAGAGCGCACTAAGAAGTATAACTCTTCCATAGTGGAAATAGAACGTATTGAATGGTATAAATATCGTGATTTTTTTTTTGAATCATGAAAATCAAATACGAAACATTCTTAAGGGCTTAGTTTTGTCTCAACCTATATCCCTAAGGGATGAGCACCATTGAGACTAGGTTAAAGACAGCAGTAGTTTATGTTTTATATCAGAAATGTTTTTAATTTCATGATCAAAAAGGTTTTTTTAAGTCAATAATATCAGTCTTGATAATGAAATTCTCTACAATTTTCTTTATATCTGTTCGGAATCAGACAGGTAAAAAATGCATTCAGACAAGTAACATTTGTTGACAACTTCTCCAATGGACAAGTCAATGTTGAGCCCTGAGGTCTGGTTGTTGCACAGTATTTACTTGATGATGATGAACTCTTTTAAAATACTTTAACTAGGGGGTTACCACTGGGAGTAAGCAGGATGCCTTTATGGACAAACTGATAGACCTGGTGTGTATCAAGGATGCTGCAGATGACCCTGACAATAAGTCAATGAGAAACCCAAATGTGGTCAGGTAAAAAGTACAGGACTGATGTGATCACTGGTCAGGTTTGGATAAAGGTGTTAGGTAAGGTTGTTAGGAGTATAGGTGTGTCAGCTTAAGCTGTAAGTAGTACAGGTGAAGTCAGGTAAAGCAGTCATTGGTACAGGTGAGGTCAGGTAGGCTTTAAGAATTGCAGGTGTGTGTGTCAGGCAAGACAGTAAGGAGTATAGATTTGTCACTCAGGCAAAGCAGTGTGGAGTATGGATTGTCAGGTAAAGCAGTAAGGAATATGGATTTGTCTGGTAAAGCAATAAGGAGTATGGATTTGTCAGGTAAAGCAATAAGGAGTATGGATTTGTCAGGTAAAGCAATAAGGAGTATGGATTTGTGTGGTAAAGCAGTAACTGAAGGAGTATGGATTGTCAGGTAAAGCAATAAGGAGTATGGATTTGCCAGGTAAAGCAATAAGGAGTATGGATTTGTCTGGTAAAGCAGTAAGGAGTATGGATTTGTCTGGTAAAGCAATAAGGAGTATGGATTTGTCTGGTAAAGCAGTAAGGAGTATGGATTTGTCTGGTAAAGCAGTAAGGAGAATGGATTGTCAGGTAAAGCAGTAAGGAGTATGAATTTGTCTAGTAAAGCAATAAGGATTTGTCTTGTAAAGCAATAAGGAGTATGGATTTGTCAGGTAAAGCAATAAGGATTATGGATTTGTCAGTTAAAGCAATAAGGAGTATGGATTTGTCTGGTAAAGCAATAAGGAGTATGGATTTGTCAGGAATAGCAATAAGGAGTATGGGTTTGTCTTGTAAAGCAGTAAGGAGTATGGATTTATCAGGTAAAGCAATAAGGAGTATGGATTTGTCAGGAATAGCAATAAGGAGTATGGGTTTGTCTTGTAAAGCAGTAAGGAGTATGGATTTATCAGGTAAAGCAATAAGGAGTATGGATTTGCCAGGTAAAGCAATAAAGAGTATGGATTGTCTGGTAAAGCAATAAGGAGTATGGATTTGCCAGGTGAAGCAATAAGGAGTATGGATTTGTCTGGTAAAGCAATAAGGAGTATGGATTGTCAGGTAAAGCAGTAAGGAGTATGGATTGTCAGTTAAAGCAATAAGGAGTATGGATTTGTCAGGTAAAGCAATAATGAGTATGGATTTGTCTTGTAAAGCAGTAAGGAGTATAGATTTGTCAGTTAAAGCAATAAGGAGTATGGATTTGTCTGGTAAAGCAATAATGAGTATGGATTTGTCTTGTAAAGCAGTAAGGAGTATAGATTTGTCAGTTAAAGCAGTAAGGAGTATGGATTTGTCTGGTAAAGCAATAAGGAGTATGGATTTGTCAGGTAAAGCAATAAGAAGTATGGATTTGGATTTGTCAGGTAAAGCAATAAGGAGTATGGATTTGTCAGGTAAAGCAGTAAGGAGTACATGTATGAATTTGTCTGGTAAAGCAATAAGGATTTGTCAGGTAAAGCAATAAGGAGTATGGATTTGTCAGGTAAAGCAGTAAGGAGTATGGATTTGTCAGGTAAAGCAATAAGGAGTATGGATACGATTGTCAGGTCCTGTTGTGGTTTGGTTAGACCAAGGGTTAGACTGTTAAGGTATTAGGGAGTACAGGCTCTTAGGCCATAAAACTGAGATCACTTTTCAGTCTCAGTCTCACTTTTACAAAAGAAAATAACTGTGGAAAAATGAAAATTAAGATCGAATGTGAAAACATCCAAGTTTGTGGGTTTAGATTAGGTATAGACAGGTAATATATTATCTGAGTAAAAGAGCCGATTACCTTTTATTATATGCAATGCACATAGTGCTTTATAAATTCGTATGGCTACATTCACATATCAACATCAGTTTTGTGAGTTTGACTTAACGAAATCTGATATCATCAAAATAAGTAATTACATATCAAACCCCTTTTCTTTTTTGTACTGAAAATTAGTTCTGTTTTGTAACAAAGTATGCTGTAGACAAAAAAGATGTAGACACTGTACATGAAATAATATATTTTTTATTTACTAAATACTACTCTATCATAAATTGCCTAATCTCTATTCTGTATATTGAATTATTTCATATCATACTGAGTGTGTCTTGTTATAAGTAAATACAAGGGCACTGCAAAGTGGAGCATCCCCTCCCAAGAGAACATTGATCCAGATGTAAATTATTGTTTGCATGCTCACTCACTCATAGTCACCTGCACACATATCCCCTCCAATTTCAATGCGAGGGGATAATAATCTAATGGAAGCAGGACATGAGGTGCTGGATGTATTGTGTTAAAAAAAAAAAATTCCCAATTTTCAGCGAGTCCATGCCACTTGAGGATCAGTTTCAACATGACTCGCATTTGATGAAAACTCTAGTCAGCCAAGAAAAAGTGGATTCCATGCTCAATCCTAGACTCTCCCTCCTGCCGCCAGATTTACAAAGGCAGTATGAGGTCGCTATGGTGGAAAAAGGACTGGACAAAGACAGGTGTTTTATATATATATAATATATATAAAATAAGTAGTAGAGACATATTCTATGTGCTCATGTACATCAGGATTTTGAACACTGTTGAATGGAGGCAAAAAACAACATTGTTTAAATCCTATAAATTTGACATATACTTACAGTTAAACTTGTCTAATCCAGATGTTGTGTTTTCCAAAATCTTGTCCAATAAGATGTTAACTTAAGTCCCTTTCAGTAAATTCAACTGTCATTAAAATGTTGTCTAATCCAGAATGTTTTCTCATCCGACCAATTTCCATGGAACCATTGATGTTCGGATTATAGACAACTTTTACTGTATATAGTTAAATTACGTTACTATTCATAAAATAACATTCCATTCCATTTCAGGCCACCTAAGCCTGATATACAGAGTCTAATGGAGTCTGCAGAAAAACTGTCACAGGATCTTCAGAGGCAACAGGAAATTCTCCGAGAAGTCAACAAAACTGTAAGATTTTGCCCATTAAACCAAATATTTCCCAATTATTATTTCCATTCTTAAAGGAGATTTCATGTAAAACAGAGCCCACATATTCTTGTCTAAAATGTTAGTCTAATCTTGATAAAATATTCCTAAATAGTGATGATTATTACATTGGAATTATTTTTTGCTCTAAATATTATGTGAAATGTGAAAATGTCTCAAGGGAGATAACTTTTACCTTACTAGCACAATTTATAAAAATTTCTCATTCTACATGTGAAGTCATTCTTTGCAATCAGATGCAATATTAATATATTCATTTAGGTGGGATAAGCACACATAATTATAGATGAAAAGTACAAGATAAATATGAAAAACTTTTGGAGTTAAAAAATTTCAAATATATGTAGATCTATCATGTTAAAATTTAGCAAAAGAAACAAAAGCCCTGCTGATTTGAAGTGCTTTAAATCTCTGAACTACCAGCTGGATAGTTACAAAGAGACTGACAGCACGTTTGTAATGAAGTTATGTTCATTAATTGTGTGATGTGCTATTCCCTATTTACCTTGATGTCTTATTTCATTTCAGTTTATGTACGAGTCTCCAGATCCATCTCGAGGAGAGATTGTGAGTAAGACAATGAGTCTGGTGCTCTCCGAGTTATCTCAGCTCGTGACAGGATTCACCTACTGCTATGAGAACGAGATGAGTCACTGGTGTAACAAATCTCCTCCCGTACTCAATGAATTAGGCCCAGCATTCAAGAGAGTTTATAATTTACTGCAGACCTTTGTCAAGGTGTGACCAGGAATTGGATTTTTCTCTTTTTTTTTTCATTTTAAAAAAATGTTGAAATTTCTACATATAGACAAGCTTATTACTCATTTCTGGTTGGCTTCCTTTCTAAATATACACTGGCATTGATCCTTGTTTATTAAATACATATAGCCAAAAGTTGTGTTACACACTGAAAAATAACCCAGGATGTAAACTTAGATGGGTTTTTTTCAGCTTTTTAATTCTCAGAGGAGTTTTTATGTTGCAATTTAGTATATTTTTGTTTTAAGGACCCTCTATACACTAGAGGAAAATATTTTTTGGACATTGAGAAAATTATAGTGTGTAAAGGTGTACATATTGAGCTTATCTATCACATTTTCAACATAGGGTGCCTTGCATTTACCTCCAGGAAAAATGTTCAAAGACAATGAAGTACTGATGAACATAAATCACTGTTGTTTACTTAAGTGGGCAAAATACCTGCAAATGAAGTGTTCTATCTATTCATCTTGGCCTATTAAAGTGTTATGAATGCTTGATTTGATCACAAATTAAGTAATAAACTGTACATTTCAATTTATATTATTTGTGATCAAAGGGCAGATCACTCTATCTGCATAAAAATACCACAAAATCAGAACTCTCTAGTGTGCAGTGTATAGAGGGCTCTTAAGTTCAAACTTTTCAATTAACACTTTTCTTTGTGTTTCAGCTACTGAAGGATTTTGAATCCATCAGGGACTCCTACACACATCTTAGTCGAGACACCAAACTTAATATAAAGAAATCCGTCACCACTAAGAAAGCTAGTCTGGGCAAGTATATATTTTTCTGATATACAACATTTCATTATAGGAAAGATACTGGAGGGCATTATTAGACAAACCTCGTCATTTAATTCACTGTAGAATAATGTTTGAAAAAGTGTCCAGTGACAATGATTTTATGACGATATTCTTATAAAGTAGAAATCAATATGTAATAAATTATATGGAGAATGGATGTCAGAATGTGAATTTTTCAAACTGATATTCCAAGGTAGGGTGGTTCCAGCTGATCTTATGCCTGCAATATCCAGATAAATGTTTTTATTTCCTCTCATCAGCAAAACATCAATCTGGCTTAAGTATCATTTCTCCACTTTATTGTATTGTATATTGTTTCAATTTCACCCTGGGTTCCAATCAATATTACTTTTACTGCTTATTTCCAGTTTAGTTAAATATATCCAACTTAGCTTGTTATCTGCATTCTCAAAATCACTCTAGGTTGTACTTTAACATACAACTCTAACAAGAGCACACTGATGTTCAAAACATAAAATGTCAGTGGGTGTATTGCCACTTGTAATTGCAATGCAGTTTCTCTCCATTCATTCCAAAAAACATTTTTAGCAATTATGTCTTCTTAGGCTAGCAGAAAATGGAGATTTAAAAAAAAATATGAGCAGAGGTTCAAGAAACTTTGAATCAATTTTATCATACTATGATCCCTTAAAGGTGCTTAGACACAGATTTGAAGTTAATATTTTCTCAAATTTTCTGTATAATATCACGACTTATATATTGCAATAGCATTTCACACGAAAATATAATTAAAAACTTATTTTATCTAGAATTTATTGGAACTACGAATTCCTGGACAAGTTTGATTAACACAGCCTTGCACTTTCACAAATTTTTTCTTTATCCTTAACATTTAAGAAAAGAAGCGGTATTTTGTTGTGTATTAATGAAAAACATTACATCTATAACCAGAAAATTCAGAGTAAAAATGTGCGAAATAAAACCCCCTCACTAATATCGTCAGCCCGTGCTCAGTGTTGTGTACAGAGTTTAACAAATTGAATACCCTGTGAAACGTAGACTGTTTTTGTAAACAGAGCACGAGCTCTGTTATTGTTAATGTTTACGATTCACCGGGTGCGTTCAATTGTTAAACTCTGCACACACCACTGAGCACGGACTTACAATACTGTGAGTGGGTTTTGTTTTCGAACATTTCTACTCTGAATTTTCTGGATTATAGTTTTAATATTTTTCATTAATACACAACAAAATTGCCACTTTTCTTAAGTATTAAGAATAAAATTAAAATTTGTGAAAGTGCAAGGATGTGTCAATCAAACGTGTTCAGAAATTTGAAGTTTCAATAACTACGAGATGAAATAAGATTTTTATTATATTTTAGTACGAAATGCTGTAGCAACATATAAGTCATGGAATTATACAGAAAATTTGAGAAAATATTAACTTCAAATCTGTGTCCAAGCACCTTTAAAGAGATAAAAGGAGATGGGTGAACATGACGAGCGATAAGCCTATAATGGGACAAACATGAAGATGAAAAATTAAATTTCAATTCTATCAAAATTTTCCTTGATATTTTGTCCAACATTAAAATATACTTTATGTAAAATCTCTACAATTTGCAAAAATCCCTCAAAGAGTGAAATTATTTGCCTGTGAAATATTAGACACACACCAAAGCGAGCAAAAAAGAGTCATTTTCTCATACTATAACACTATTTTTCGATATGAGTGGGTCTTCGCTCCACCTTTTTGAAAGTTAATCCTCAAAGTTTGCATAAAAATATACATTTTTTGGTTACCAAAAATATGGAGCAATGACCCACTATCCCTTAAAAATATACTGCTCCTTTTTGAAAGTTAATCCTCAAAGTTTGCATATATAAAATATACATTTTTTTGGTTACCAAAAATATGGAGCAATGACCCACTATCCCTTAAAAATATACTTTTATGACATAACATTCGTATCTTTTCGAGAAATAAGAAAATAAGAAGTTCATTAAGTCAAGGGTCATATCACAAACATGATTTAAATGCCACTCTTCATCAGGACTTTGTGTAGTCTAGTGGTTAGCGTGCTAGTCTCGAAAGAAAATGATACTCAGGGTTTTTATTGCTAGGGTTCGAACCCCACGAATACCACATTAATATTTTTTTAATAAAAGAATAAATTTTGCCGAGAAAATTGTCCTCAGAAAAGTTTTGTTTATCATAATTTCACGAATTTCAATAATGAGACAATAATAATTGTCAAAATTCCCAAACTGAACATGATTTATATATATCTGAAGCTATAGGCTTTCTGCACGCTATGTTCGCCCATCTCCTTTGAGACAATTCATGTGATGGAATAGATTTAAACCACAGGAGTTCGCATACCTATCAATTTTACCGAAATTTTTTGTAAATAAAAAAAATATGTAATACCTATAGTGTTACTATTATAGGTATTACGTATTTTTTTTATTTACAAAAAATTTCGGTGAAATTGATAGGTATGCAAACTCCTGTGATTTAAACCAACTAGGTACAGTAAAACAAGCCTACAGCAAAGACCCAAGGCCAAACACTTTTGAATCTTTAGAAATGTTTTAAAAATGAGGCAAATGAAAATCACACTGCTATAAGTTCATTCATTACATTTAAAGCTGTAATGGGCTTAACTGTAGAGAATTTTTCAGTTATATGAGTTACCTCTCTTTGCAGAGAGCCCCCTTTCCTCCAAATGTCAACAGAGTAGGTTTTTAAAATTTTTTTTTTTTTTTTTTTTTTTTTCGGAAAAACAGACATGAATTCAGACTTAACTTCTTGTTACTCCCACACTTTCTTTTTTAAAATTTTCATTTCACAGTAATTGACTCAACAAATATTTCACACAGTTTTCAATCTTGACAACCTTGTAACATTAGATCGAGAACCACTTTGCCATGTATGCCTGTTCATCACATTTACTCTCCTTAAAGCAAAACAGGAGACCAAGTTCATTTCCATAATTTATTGAATTCTTCAATATGAGTATTTCATCAATTATTATTCTCATCTGGAAAATTCTTAGTAAGAAGGATCTTTTTCACCGAAAGGTTTATTTGAAGATTTCTGCTGGCAAAATATATTACATACTAACCTGAAATAAATTCAGACCTGGAAAAAAAAGCATAATATATACAGACATGTTCATAAATTCAAAATATTTATCTTTCAATAGCAACAGCAGGGCAGGAAATGTTGGAAAGCCTCCAAGAGTGCGTTACTGTTCTAGACGAATCTGTTCATCGGGGGACAGCAAATTCCAGTCACTCCATGCTGGAGGTATCCAAGCTTGCCAGATGATGGTTGTCTGCATATCTGGAGGGGGTGCAATAAATGCTTGGATTTTCACCCTGGGCTTTAAAAGGAGAGGGTATTTGTTTAGCCTCAAGAACCAATCAAATATACACTTGTGAAACAAGTGGGTTAGGACACTACATTGCAATTTTAGTGTTCAAACTCCAAATTAAATATGTTTTTCTTCAAAACATATGCTAGCACTGAATTGATGATAATTTGAACTGTACCAGAGAAACATTTCATTTGTACACATTCTCGATTGTTTATAATAAAATTGTACAGTAATACTACATGCCACTTAGGTTTTTTTTTTTGGTGAAAAATGCAAGCATACAAGTATGATTTGTTATTTGTTGTCTAATTCCGTAATGGAAAAACCATTGATCTTGAATGAACTATCTACCTTCAAAGAGGTACATGTAATGACCTAATCCCTCTTTACACTTTTCACCATTATATGTAATATTCGACAAAATGAGTACCATACCACTTGATAATCTGATGACATCATTACGCCAGGCATTTTATTAAAAAAAAAAACAGCGGATCATAAAATACACTACTATTCTCAAACTTCTTTGGGCGTATGAAATTAACAATATCCAAGACTATAAAGTATGATGAAATATACCATAACTATCATGATTATAGATCATGTATTAACCATGAAGATGATCAGTATATTACATGTACAATGTACTAAGACAAAGCAATGGTTTCTATGGTCCATGATGCCAAACAAGTCCCGAAACTTTCAAGTAAAGACAATCAACTCTCAATTTCACTTGTCCCTTTCAAGGTTTAATAAATGGGATATTCTCAGTTGGCAGTGTCAAGACTTGTAAGTTTCAGGACCGTGTTTGAAATGGTAAAAAGCAGACCATTTACCTTAGTTTAGATTGAGGAGGTACTGCACCCTATAGGGGGCCCCTTCGGCCACCTCGGTACAGTGTGCCCTTAGTTTCGATGTACGTCCTCGACTGAAAAATAAAACTTGTAGGCATTAGAATGGAATACACTCAATACATGGATAAAACACAATTTTAATAGTTTCTTAAAAGGTACATATAATTGGATTAAAAAATATTTTGTTTTAAATCGTTTTTGAATTTGAGAGTTGTTTTACACAGCTGAGCTGTTAAAATAAAATAGTCAACTTTCAATATAGCACTGGATTGTTTTACATTTGACAAATTTCATTTTTAAACATTTTTTTAGCTACAAGATACAGCAAGCAACATTCTTTTTAACTGTTCATTTTCCCTTTGAAGATTGAGATTTTCTCTTTTGAGCTGATTTATCACTCCCTTTTTCCTTTGACGTCTGGTTTTTACTTCAGTGAACTGAACATGGGTAGGGGAACATTCCAATTCTTTTTCCAAAATTTCAGCTTTAGATTCCATTGAACAAATAGCTGAAATAAGTTCCGATTTGCTCAGACGAGATGCTTCATCAATTTGAATAGAATTGTAAGCATCTTCAAAGTCTTTCTCCATAAAAGCCTTGGTGTCCTCATCAGCACTATTAATAGAATCATCTAAATCGTCCATCTGGAACAACAAAGAATCGTCTGCTGCCTCGGGTGGTTCAACAATGGACGCATCCGAGTCGTCTGAATATTGAAGGCGCTGGCCCCAGGGATCAGGGGACTCAAAACCAAGAAACTCGCAACTGTATGAAAAATGATCATCCATCAAAAACTGTGTAGAGTTGTGGGGAGCTTTAGGGCTATATTTGGGTCTCAAAATCGTTTGGCGCCTTCTGTTACCCTTGGCTTGTCGCTGGCGATACTTTTTCACTGGGGATACGCCTTCCGAGTCGCCATCATATGGCGAGAGTCTTTCACAGCTTAAACAATTTTCGAGATTTCCTTTCATTTCACTAACCTCGTGAATATCGCGGAAGTTCCTGTTCTTTTTCTTGCCCCGCCTCGTTTTCTTCGATCGACGTAAGTTCGCTCCTTCTAGAAAATCCATATTTTCTGCTAATTGAAATTTCTTGTTTAAAAAATCTGGGATAACGTTGTTCTGGTGATGAATTCGATTAATTTCCATAAGCATATTTATCCGTATCAAATTTACTAACGACGTCCTTCTCCTTCCACGAGTATCTTTCAAATACGTTGCAAAATCGTTGGCAACAGCTCTTATAAACTTACAGCACGTGACCAAATCGTCGTAAATACGAATATCACGTCACAACTCGAAATACCCCTAATATTCGAGTGTGACTAAAATGGGTAGTAAAACCCGGGCCGGGCCGGGAATTTTGAAACTGAAAACCGGGTTTTCGCTAATTACTGAAAAAATACTGAATTCTTCATCGCGAAACTTACAGATGTAATTTAATACAACAAAATGTGTCTTCGCTGAGGGTTTTAACACCAAATATTATGTTTTTCAATTACTATTAACGATTGTCATTTTCCCGGTGACTAAAATGGGTAGTAAGCCCGGTTTAATCATTTTGGTGATTTAAAGCTAATTACACTCAAAAAATGGGATTTCTTTGTGTTTTATCGATGTTTATTAACTTAAAGAACTTAAATATTACAACAATTGCAAAAAATAATGTCGATAATTAAAATAAGCGCCGATTTTTGATACCCGGGACAGTCCAAAACCGGGCGCGTTTGCCCGGGACAAACTGGAATATTCCGAAAAATTGCCATCAGATAAACGGGTGCAGAGAATAATGTAGAATTTATTAAAAAAGTAACCTATCCCCCCCCCCCCCAAAAAAAAATAGATAAATAATCAAATGGAGAAAATAAATGAAATATACACAAAAATCCCGACAATTCTCTTTTTTTTAATACTACTGGAGTTATGTATCTTAGTGATTTGACAAGAGAAAGACTGTATGCTACAGCTATAGATTCGTTTCAGGTGATCATTTCCCTGAAATTACATGTATATGTCGGCAGAGCTGGCTTGGAACATGTTAAATTAAGATCATGAAGATAATACCAGTTAAGTTAATAAATTCTACGCAACTGGCTTGGTTCAGGATATTTACTACTCTCATCATTATCTCGGAAATTTAAGGTTCGTCCCGGATAAACGTGTCCGGTTTTCGGTCCCGGGTATTTAAAAAATGCATTTATTTTCTACAATCGGAATATATTTATAAAATGGTTAAAATTTTTTGGCAGTTTAAGTTCATTTCGATCTTTCCAATACAAAAAACTGCAATTATGTCAATAATATTAAGTACAAAACACCAAAATATGTAAACCGGGTTTACTACCCATTTTAGTTACCGGGAAAATGACAATCGACGATAATCATTGAAAAACGTAATATTTGGAGTTTAAACTCTCAGCGAAGGCATATTGTGTTTTATTTAATTAAATCTGTAAGTTTCATGACAAATAAATAAGTATTTTTTCAGTTATTAGCAAAAACCCGGTTTTCAGTTTCAAAATTCCCGGCCCGGCCCGGGTTTTACTACCCATTTTAGTCACACTCCTAATATTCTTCGTCCGTAAAACGTTTTAAGAAATCCGATCCCGATCTAATTGTAAAGTTGCTGTAAATACATGTACCGTGAAAGTATGACCATGATGACTAAAAGCAATTCATTTTATTATTTTTTTCCCAATAGAAGTACCTAGATATATAGTGAGTTACAAATATTTGTTTTATATACATGAACAAGTAGTTTGCTTTGCTTAGTCGATTTTGTTCAATATCTTCAATTATGATAATTATATATTTAAACATTGATTTATGTAAAAAAAAAAAAAAAAAAAAAAAATCAGGGGCCCGCTTTACCAAAGAAGTTATGAATAAGAGCAAAAATTTAATTCTGTTTAATATATACTTTCAATTTATGTAAAAAAAAAAAAAAAAAAAAAAAAATCAGGGGCCCGCTTTACCAAAGAAGTTATGAATAAGAGCAAAAATTTAATTCTGTTTAATATATACTTTCAATTTTATATTAATTTGAAACTGGTTTTACTCTTTTATAAAAGAACTCAACAGGATATTTTAATGCTTGCAAATAATAATTTTAAAAAAAATTTTTTTTCAATCAATTAAGTTTGAAATTAAGCTTTGGTCTTATTTTAAGTTCTTTTGTAAAACGGGCCCCCGCACTGTAGTTGATTTTTATTTAAAAAATCATTTTTTTGGGGGGGGGGGGGTTGTTTGGGTTTTTTTTTCCGATATTTGTGCGGAGACATACAGGACTATGAGTAATTAAGAATTCAAGACTGTCAATATATATATATATATATATATATATATATATATATATATATATATATATATATATATATATATATATATATATATATATATATATATATATATATTTAATTAAAAAAATATCAAATTTTAAATCGCTGCAACATCAACAATATTAATTTTCTAGCAAAGATTTCAAATATATGATTTTATAACCTGTAAACTTTGTCATATCAAAAAAATTTGAAACGTGATAAAACTCCTTTAATTCAACTCTGAATTTAGCAGTAGTAAACCCTATTGAACATGACTATCGCCTTGCCTAAGTACACGTAAAGCGTGACAGTATAGTTGTCTTAATCAATAGAATTAGAAACAGACATGCTCGCAGTTTTGCTGACTCTGATAAAAAAAAAAAAATTCATGCATGTCTATGAATGGAAGCAAAACGACACATGGGTGACTATACTATAAAATATCAAACAAAAAAAGAAAAGAATTAATTTTGTTTGAATCACTGTTCACTTAATTTTTTTTTAATGCTGATGTACATATGGATACAATACATCTGCATGGAGAATTAACTTTCTTTATTTTTTTTTTACGAGGATGGACCTATATTCAAAGATTTGGCGTCATTTTTTTTTTTTTTTTTTTTTTGGGGGGGGTGTGTGGGGGGGGGGGGGAGGTTAACAGGAGCCGAATTCAATTTATTTATATGAATAAAAAAAATGATTGTAATATATAATTTGAAGACAAGAGTTCCTTGCATATTAAAGCTGAAAAGATAATACCCTACTACCACCAAGTGGCAGCAGGATTAAGGTTGGAAACGCTACGTTTTAACTTTTAGTAGCAAGAAGTCGGTAAATAAGAAGTGGTGGAAAGGCCGGATCGGGGGGCGGTGGGTGGGAGGGGGTCAAATAAGTCATATAAAAATGTTAGGGAAATGTCAAACGTAATATGGAAAATGAAATGCGTCTGTTTGAATAACTTATCGATTACATGAACTTTAATTAAAATTGACCCCCCCCCCCAAAAAAAAAAAAAAAACAAAAAAAACCAATAATATGAAATTCAACAGCAAAACTTTTAGATGTCTATAATTTCGGTAAAAAAAAAAAAACAAAAAAAAACAATCAATTACTTAAATGTACACAAATATGATTTCTTTTTTTCAACTCAGTCTATATAACATTAAGACTTAGATCCTGAAATAAGGCAATTACATGTATGTGCTTATTATGACGACATATTTCTTGCGACTTTATATAGTGTATTAAAGACATTGAACAAAAGATGCATTATTCTTTTAAACTAATTATGAACAAATATCTATATGTGGTGAACTTTCCATTGTGGATTCAACATCAGATTTTCAGAGACAGATCTAGGATCGAGAAATTGTTCATAAAACGTCACTCAAATGTGGACACTAAGTGGCTTGTCTCAGCTCTTTTAAATTAGGACTGATGTGTCATAAATATTTTGGCATTTTCATTTTCTTATGGAGATTGCTATTCAGACTCCTTGTTGCATAATCCGTGGCTGATTCATTCAAATATAATTAATTGAAGTGGAGAAGTCTTAGCATATATATACACTGTAAAAAATGTGTTTACAATTCAAACACTTTTCTAAACACTTTCTTGTCACCTCCTTTTTTATATGTTTAATTTCTAAACATGTAAAATTCCTAAACATGTCTTAGAAAGTGTTTAGAATTTAAACACTTGTGTGCTTAGAAATTAAACACATGTAAACACATAAACACATGTGTTTAAATTCTAAACACATAACAGCAGATGTGTTTAAAATCTAAACACATCATAAGTTTAAATTGGACCTGCAGAAAAACAAAACACTCTCGTAAATTTAGGCACAAAAACTATGTTTTTTAAATGCGCATAATTGTCAAAATTTTCAAAATATGTAACCAATATTAGCTATTTTCCATAAAGCCACTGAACGTTGGGATATGTATTTAATTATACAATAGAATGGACACTGTGTGATGTACATGTACTTAATTTACACAAATAATGTAGGAGATAGAACTGAAAAGATTTGATTAGTCTCAACAATTCAATCAGAATGACACATAATTTATAACGTACACATAGATATCAAACTTTTAATCTTCAAAATTATTAAGAAAATAATATTAAGTTGACAATTTAATATCAAAACTTCATTGAATATTTCTAAAAGGCTTTATTAAAGAATTGTTGAATTAAAAATACAAATTGTATATTTATGTACATATTTATTATAATCATTATAATTTGAATCGGCTGCAGAGTTTTCCTCATGTCAATCACAAAAATATCAAATTTTATTAACTTTCAGCAAGTCCCAAAGCACCACATATTATAATCTATATCCCATCAATAACTGCCAGAAAGTAATCCATTTCGAATGCACAAGGATAATTGTAAACACTGTCGAAATAACACAGTAGTCTTCAACAAATGAAGTTTCAAAGTGTTGATTATGGAACAACAAAATTGCATGTTGAAGATGACACCAGGTACTCTGATACGTGTATTTTGAGTTCGATCTGGACTACAGTGCCTGCAGGAAAGAAAGCCAGAATTTAGAAAAAGTACACTATCACTGATATTTTACATTGCTTGGAAAAACAAAATTGTTCCAATTTAAGTGAAACTACACTGATATAAATATAGATGTTTTAATGACATTTAATAATATTTCCTATCCTGCAAGTCTATGAACGAATTCAAGATATCCCAAGTCAACTTTATTTACATTGCTCATCGTGGTTAATTAATGCAAAGAAGAAGAAAACAAACCTTTAATAGATGCCCTTTCACGTATTTCACTATTTCGTCATGGTTATCCCTTGAATTGGGTTGTCATAACTCTCATTGATACATCACCTTAGCTTGTTGTGTTTTCTTTGTTTAGATAGCCGCTCAAATTAACGTTCAAATATGTGTGTCATTTCCGGGAAGATAACTCTGCACTTTACAGTAAAACGTGTTTAATTTCTAAACGCGTTTAGATATAAAACATGTTAAGACATAAGTGTTTAGTTGTTAAACACAATGCTATACACGTTTAGATCTAAACATGTAACAGAAGTGTTTATTTCCTAAACGCAATTTTTACAGTGTATATTATATATATCGATAATCCTGCTTTCAACATAACTGCCGGTGAAAAATTTTCATGTAAGTGACAGAAGGTTTAAGATTAAAAGGGATACCCAAAGTACTATATAAGTGACCATATAATGAGGCCATTTTTTAGAACGGAAGGGTCGGTGGTGTTAGATCGAGAAAAGTTTTGATCCTGAAATATGGTAATCATGTGCTAATTACATGTAAAATGACATATGTCTAATAAAATAGTTTTTCTCCTTCATGCCAAGAAAAGGTACGCATTCTAGTTTTAGAGCGAACTCAATAAAAGCGGAATTAGCGTTAATCTGTGATTTTTCCCCAGGGAGATGTGTGCGAGGCAATTAATGTCAGCAGTTTTGAGGGAAGGATCTTAAGTTTTACTGGTTTGAAATTAAAGCTAGAATACTAACTATTTAGAAGCCTTTGCACCTTTTTTCCTGTTGGTTTTTTTTAGGGGGGGGGGGCGATTTTCCATGCAAATCATATGCGGTTAAAAAAGTAAAAAAAAAAAAAAAATGAAAAAGAATGAAATAAATTGTAGTGAACTAATTAATTGTTCAGTAAAAATTAGACGCCTTTCAAATTTTTCAGTGTTTATATATCAAAATATTTTTTTCCTAGTATAAATTAACATCGGGCACGATGAACTTGGTTGTTGTGGAAGTCTCGCGCCTTATTAAGGTATCATAGCGGTAATTGACCAATGAAACTTAGTCAATTGTAGTTCCATACATATAAAATTATTATTTTTTCCTTTTGAATTTTTTTTTAATTTCCTTCCAGTCTATTTTTACAATTTTGGTACCTGTGTCTAGTGCATTTTACATATTTTGTAAATAAATAAAGGTTTTTGACAGGAACTATTTTTTTCAGGGCATAGGAGGCTACTTCCTGGGGTAGAAGTTTATTTTTCTTTGACTAAGAAAACGGAAAACTTAGGATCCACCCCCTCAAATCTGCTGCCGTTAATTGTCTCGCCAGCGTTAGGGGAATGTGGGTGATTTGCATCAATTACACTTTTATTGACTCCATCGCTGTGGAAAAATGGACGGGATTTCTTGGCATGGCCAGCCATTACCCCCCAAGTATGCACCCCGGCCAGTCTGGCTAGCTATCTTCAGTGCCAATTAAGCGACGCGGGTGTCAGTTAATTACTACATACCAACATGACTGCATGCATGTGTTTGATTTGTAACATAGTCAGGTGCAAAACAGAGTTCAAAAACTGTATAATTCAGGTCAGAGTTATTATATCGAAAAACATAATATATAGATATTTTTTAATATTCAACAATATTTAAAATGCTCCAAATTTTTAAAAGTTTTGATATTTTGGATATCGGTATATACACAGAAAAGCCATCACACAAAAGATGAAAGCTCTTCCTAGTTCTGTCCAACCAAAGAGAATATCTTTGGATCTAACAAAATATTTCAGATTTGATTTACATCGGGCTCATGATGATCATACAAGCACAATATTAACACGGACTTTTTTAGGAAAAAAATCTTAAATAAATTTTATTTGATAAGGAAAATTACTCTAGTATTATATCACTATAAATGATAATAAAATACAATTCAAAAAAATTAATAATTCTAAATTCAGTCATTCACCTCTCAATTCTAAAAATAGATCATTAGTGATTGCCTTGTGCAACACACACACACTCGACCATAACTTGCGGGATTGACCATGCGGATGGAATGTTCTAGTGTTAATAACTTGATAAAATTGTATCTTCCCGATTTTCATATACGAAGGCGTCCGTGTTTAAGGAATTGTAAAAGATATAAAAGTATAGATCAACCGAAATAATAAAATGCCGAAGAAAAACAAGAAGGGTAAGTTAGCGCCGGCGCCATGATATTATCCATGCTTTGATCACACGTGAGATACGTAGTAAAGATTTTCTCACGAAAATAACAACATAAGATGAAAATTTACAAATGGGGGAATTGGAAACATCAAGTAATATTTATTAAATGTTATATATTAACGATTAAAGATTACTTTCAGTGAAGAAAAACGTAATGATCGTAACCTTGACACGCATACAAAAATATTGTTGCATAAAGGAGTATCCTCCTGTCTCTTTGATAATTCAAATTAGCCTTAAGGTATTCATTTTGAGAAGACTTATTATGAAATGTGATGAATGCTAAAATTTTCCCACACTTTATCAGAAAGGTAATGAAGTACTACTTGTTCACTCTAAATGTACCATATGGTCATTATGGAACCATAATTTTGATGTATGTTTGATGGTTTGGGCGGTGGATATGGGCCTGGGTAGCTCAGTTGGTAGAGCACCTGACTAGTGAAGCAAGGGTTGGGGTTCGATTCCCGGTCCAGTTATACATTTTCTCCTTTCCTGTTACATAATTCGGTGCCATTAACCACTCCTCTGAATTTCCTGCCAGGGGCATGTGTTTGAGTGCAAAGACAAATTAAGGAGGGAGGCATGTGATGGTATAGGCCATGGATATTGGCCTGGTAAGCTTGGTAGAGCATCTGACTATTGATGCAGGAGTCCTGGGTTTGATTCCCAGTCCAACCATATATTTTTTTCTTTCCTGTTGCAGATCTATGAACACCCAATGTTCTAATAAATTATGCTTGACAAGCATGACTAAAAAGAACTTTTTTTTTTGTATGATTGATCATTCAAATCTCATACTAACAATAATATTTATAGTCATTGACAGGAAAGCAAAACAAATGACTATTTCCTTGTGTCAGATGGTGCACTTATAAAATTTGCTTTTACTCGAAATATTTTATGATCAAATCCTCTGGTTTTCTTGATAAGTTGTTTAAATGTAAACGTAATCAAAGATATATATACTTGTAGTATATACAATCCCTCATAATGACACAACTTTATAAAACCATTTTTTTTAAAGCAAGACTTAGAGAGATAGGAGGTAATATATACATGTATCTATTGTTTACAGGGAAGGGTTTGAAGCCAAAGGCAACACTAGATTCCTTGCCTACCAGTGATGATGACAGAGAAACAGCTGATAACTGGAGCACTGCCAGTATTCTGTCAGATGAAGGACACAGCAGCCTCTCTGAAGAAGGTAACATATGGTCATCTTTAAAATGAGTCTAAATTAAATGTAAACAATATTATTTTAAAAAATTGTCAAACAGTAATATATGCTGTATTTTTTGTACCAGCATATAAAAATTTTGATAAATTTTACAGAGTTTAATGGGTGCCTAGAGCATTTTCTACAATCAAGAGTTTAGGCTTACATTAGGTTTTTGTCATTAAAACCCAGAAGTTCGAAGTAGCAGTGAAGTGTCCTATAACAAACTCATTTGTGAAACTTTGTAATTTAGATATTATTTCCAAAAAGGAAATAGGATTGGACAGCAGATATAAGTGTTTAACAATGCAGTGTAATGCAAGGATGGGCATGTCACTAGAAGTCCAAGCCATTGATAAAATTGTAATGAATAGGCAGTGACCATGCAAAAAAACTATAATGTTACTATTGCAGTGCACAACACTAAGAAAACAGACTTTTGTATCGAGAGGATAAAATTATCCAACATTTTATTTTAAACTATTTTATCTTCAGAGACATAATTAATACAGAGGCAGATTGATGCTTGAGATTAAAAATTCTGTTAATGAGAGCAAATCTTTGGTTTTCCTGTGTGATGTGATGTAAATTTATTATTTTTAAGGAGCAGGCCCCGATGAATCTTCTGCTCAGGAGAATTTTGAAGACAAGCTGAAAGATTGTATCGATGGACTTGCCGAGAAAAGGTATCGTTTTGTTGCATGGATTAATATTTCTTCCGTTTGAGCATGTCGAAAGGATCCAGCCAACTGGCAACAACAAAATTGCCTATCTACACTTTCATTTTAAAGATATTTCCCAACTGAATGCAGACTGATTCATTATGCTATACAAATGTGTTTCAGTTTAATATTTTGTCCTCATGAGATGGTCAAAACATTGAAGTTAATTAACATTTCTTAGTTTGATGAATTTTTTTGTTACATATAACTAATCCTATAGGAGTTGACACATAATTAGAATTTTCTTATTTTCAAGAAAAGTCTTATTATTCATCGCTACAATATTATAATGAGATCAGTTTATTCAACCAATCAAATAATCAGTTTCTTCTGCCCGAATTTTATCATTTTGCATCAACTGTTCCAAAAAAAAAAAAAAAAAAAATTAAAAGGTAAAAAAAAGTCTCATGTTTCTAATTTGCTCTTTCTTTGCAGTGCACAGACCAGGAAGACTGCTTTAGATGGAGTGATGAAGGCTTTATCAAAGAAGTACATAATGGACTTCCTCCTAGAGAGGTATTCTGTTATAGAAAATCAGTTTGCATGAATATTTGTAAACAAGGAAAATTTCTTATTATGTATCTCAAATCAACTAGATATTTGAAAATTGAAATAAAACTTCTCTGAATCCTTCAGTGCTTTATAATTTGCTAGTAAGTCAGCTGTAGATAAAAATTGTTTATATTATTATGTGAACTGCTCCGAATGAACATTAATTACATAAAAAAAAGAAATAATTATTTAAAAAAAAAAAGGAATTAAGAAAAAATTCTGATAGGTGCTTGAATGAAATACAATTACAGTAAAACTTGTCTAATCTGGATGTTGTGTAATCCAAAATCTTGCTTAATATGATTTAAACTTTTAAGTCCCCTTCAATCAATTTATTTGTTTAAAATGTTGTTTAATCCATAATGTTGTCTAATCCAACCAATTTCTTTTGAATCAGTGGTGTCTGGATTAGATAAGTTTTACCGTACATGCTTATTGATAAACCCTGTTGATTGAGAAAAGGTTGAAGTGAGTACCATTGTTCTCTGTTTACAGGAAGGTTACTCTAACTGTTTCTCTGTTTACAGGAAGGTTACCTTGACTGATTACCTGTTGAAGTGTCTGAAGAAAGGGAAGGGAGACGAGCAAGTGCTTGCTGCTCGGTGCCTGAGTCTACTGTGTATTCAGATGGGGCTAGAGGCCGAGGACATCTTCAATGAAATACAGCCCCAGTTACTGACTGCAATGACAGATAACTCTGTAGCCCTCAAGGCTAGGTCACAGGTGTGTGTCTAGGGAGTGGTAGACCATAGATGGAGAAAGAAAAAGTACTATCAATATTGTTTATTTTGTGTATTATTTATAATTATTGATTTTTCAGTGTGCCATTGGATTGGCTGTGTGTAACTTTGTGTCCTGCACAGACATTGATGTAAGTACCAAAATGTGTGTCAGTCTGCTACACATTAATTTTGGTAACATGTAATAGTAATGGAGATGATATGATTTTAGGTACTTTTGTTACAGTTCAATTTTGCTCTGCTGGGAAAATGTTAACAAAGTTACATGCACATATTGTAGGAAAATGATTTCTTTCTATATTTCCAGTTGTCAAATTTATTGTCATCGTGTAAGATGGATATTAAATACTGGTAGACTGTCAAAAATTTTCACTCTCAGACTTCCTTTAAAAGGGAAACTGTCAAACTTTTCACACATCAATACGACCATGTTTACGGTATATATCAAAGTGAAAAACATCATTTTCAATATCTAAAGCTACTCTTTTAATCACGAGCATGGAAAGATAGAAAAGTGTTAAATGAAAAAAGTAGGAAGAGTGATTTAATACATTTTCATTATTGACTCCTACACAGATTGTAGTCAAGGTGCTGGATGCTTTGGAAGGTATTTTCAAGACCTCATACAGAAAGGGAGATAAATCCATCCCGTCCCACACACCAGACACCACACATCTACATGCCAGTGCTCTCTCTGGGTGGAGCCTCCTGCTCTCTATAGCCCCGTCTTTCCTTGTTATGAAGTGTCTAGGAAAGTAAGTAATTCTGTGATTATTTACTTTTGAGTGTCAGGTTTGTATTTTATGATACAAAGGAAAGGAATTCTTTACTGTTTGTTGTGTATTGGTCTTTGGTGTACCACTTCTGAACACAAATCATATTGAAATAAAATGTTTATTTTAGAAATTAAATCGTTAGTAATCCATATAAAAATGAGCCAAAGAACAAATGTGTATCTTTGCATTCTTGAGTAGTTTTACAATCCTCAGAATTTCTCTGTGTTGGTTACTGTTCTCAACTAACAAGAATGGTGCTTGTATTTCAACAGTTCCTCTCTTATCTTGTGGCATATTGATTTCCTGTAAAGTCTTTAATTAAATTTTAACAATTTGCGGAGGACATGAATTTTTGGGTCTGTTCATACCACAAAAAAGAACAAAATTATAGCCCTTCGAAAATTGATGATTTTACAATATTAAGAGTTGTACTCTTTCCCTTGCATTTTGAAACCAGTGTCTAGACAGGACATACCTTGTTACTTAATTACGTGTTCTAATACTTCAATTTACCCCCTCTTTCTTTTCAGACACATAGATCACCTGCCAGACCTTCTACATAGTTCAGATGTAGAACTGAGGATTGAAGCGGGTGAAACCCTTGCTCTGCTGTATGAACTGGCTAGGGAGGAAGATGAGGTAAATTAAAAAAAAATTATTACAGTCAAACTGTGTTATCTCAAACTTAATGGGAATAAAAAGAAGATTTAGGGATATCAAAGGATCGAGATGATGAGGTTAAAATACAGTAAACAAAAAAGTGGTTGGCACTTTAAACTCACTTAAACACGTCCACAGTATTTGTGATATCATTGGTTGAGATACTGACGTTCAACTGTGTTCCGTTCACATGTATATTGTAAAGTATTGTAAAGTTATAAACTCTATTTGAAATCTCTGCATGAAAAGTTCATTGGGCATTTCTATATGTATACATGTATATGATAATGGAACATTCCGACTCTTAGCTAATGACTGGGAGGAGATGCATAGTGTGATGTTAGGGGTGTTATGAGATGCCTTTTGAATGAGAGCTTATTTTTGGGCTCTTTCATTCTGTTTATGTATTGTTCTGTGTATAAGAGTGCACAACAGAAATAAATAGAAGTCTAAAAATCATAATTCAGTTAATACAGTATTATTGTCGAAAAACTAAATTTTTCCACAATCGTATCATAATGATGATGACCTACATTGTAATATAAAAAAGATGATATGACAATGATTTATACATGAATATCGTCATGACTACTAATGGATAAAAACAGATAGAGATATTAAAAACAGAATCTTGTAGGACTTCTTTTAAAATCCCTTGATGAGTATAAATTAAGGCTTACACTAAAGTGTTAACAATAATATCATGTGTCACACTTCGATTTACACTTTTTAGATTGTGTGGGTATGAATATAATTGTTACTTGCATGGGTTATAAAATGTTACCAGGTCATGTGTATACAACTGTAGCATGTGATTCATATGCTCCATTAACCTGATATAAGCATTACAAATGTTGGGCCAGATTAGAAGATCAAAACAGGAAGTGGATTACTCTTAAAATAATTTCTGAAAATATGCCAAACAATTTTGGACTTCATTTGATATCAGTAGTTGTCTTATGGGTTAAGAAATTCAAAGAGACAAGTAATACATGTACACTGAAAGTTTTCTTCCATTGTTGTTAAGAAATGCTAATAATTAAATTGTAATTGAAAGTTAACTACCACTGATGTAGCAATTGTCACTGACTTTTGGTTAGCGGTTGTCATAAATTAAACAATGTGAATAATTAGGGCCCCACAAGGATTTGCGGGTGCCCTATAGTAATCACTCTGTCTGTCTGTCCGTCTGTCTGTCCGTCTGTCATTCTTCCGTCCACAAATTTTCTGTTTTTTTCTAATAACTTTTTTTAGGGTTGACCAATTAAGTTCAAATTTGGTATGTTGGTTGAATAGGCAGTAAGACATATTTTGATGCTAAGTTTGGTTCTCTATGTCATCCGGTTTGGAGCTGGGGTGGTGGGGTAGATTCCTTAACTTTATATAAGAGTGAATCAGCAAAGAGAGATAACTGCTGAGAATTTTCCTATTGTAAACTATGAAAGGCTGCAATGAGTCTCTTGGGATTAATTAACTTTTCTCTTCAAGAAAATCCAAAGCATTTATCTTTATCTGTCACATTGAGATTAATTAACACCTCTGTCTGCAAATGAAGTTTGTTAGCTCTACTGGTCAGAGACCAGAAGAGCTTATGCGATAGTAAGGTGTCCGTCGTCCGTCCGTCTGTCTGTCTGTCTGTCTGTCTGTCTGTCTGTCTGTCCGTCTGTCTGTAAACAATTTTTCAAAACGCTACTCCTCCTTCAGTTTTGGTCCGATTTCAATATAACTTGGCACACAAGTAGACTATACTAAGATACATAATTTAGTGCATCGGTTTTTGATTTCGATGGACGGTGTTGCCATGGTTACTAAAAATAGAAATTTCTGTGAAATTCCTTTAAAACGCTACTCCTCCTACAGTTTTGGTCCGATTTCAATATAACTTGGCACACAAGTAGACTACACTAAGATACATAATTTAGTGCATCGGTTTTTGATTTTGATGGACGGTGTTGCCATGGTTACTAAAAATAGAAATTTCTGTGAAATTCCTTTAAAACGCTACTCCTCCTACAGTTTTGGTCCGATTTCAATATAACTTGGCACACGAGTAGACTACACTAAGATACATAATTTAGTGCATCGGTTTTTGATTTTGATGGACGGTGTTGCCATGGTTACTAAAAATAGAAATTTCTGTGAAATTCCTTTAAAACGCTACTCCTCCTACAGTTTTGGTCCGATTTTAATATAACTTGGCACACGAGTAGACTACACTAAGATACATAATTTAGTGCATCGGTTTTTGATTTTGATGGACGGTGTTGCCATGGTTACTAAAAATAGAAATTTCTGTGAAATTCCTTTAAAACGCTACTCCTCCTACAGTTTTGGTCCGATTTCAATATAACTTGGCTTACAAGTAGACAACACTAAGATACATAATTTAGTGCATCGGTTTTTGATTTCAATGGACGGTGTTGCCATGGTTACTAAAAATAGAAATTTCTGTGAAATTCCTTTAAAACGCTACTCCTCCTACAGTTTTGGTCCGATTTCAATATAACTTGGCACACAAGTAGACTACACTAAGATACATAATTTAGTGCATTGGTTTTTGAATTCAATGGACGGTGTTGCCATGGTTACTAAAAATAGAAATTTCTGTGAAATTCCTTTAAAAGACTACTCCTGCTACAGTTTTAGTCTACTTCTAATATAATTAGGCATACAAGAAGACTATACTAAGATACATAATTTATTGCATTGGTTTTTGAATTCGATGAAGAGTGTTGCCATGGTTACTTAAAATAGAAATTTTTGTGAAATTCCCATTAAACGTTACTTCTCCTACAATTTTGGTCTGATTTCAATCTGATTTGGCACACAGTTAGAATACACTACGATACATAATATGTATTTCTGTTTTTTTATTTGAGTGAATGGTCATGGTTACTAAAAATAGAAATTTCCATGAAATACTTTCAAAACGCTACTCCTCCTACAGTTTTCATTTGATTTCAATATAACTTGGCACAGAAGTAGACTACATTAAGATACATAATTCTAATTATTGTTGCATGTTGCAATGTTTCAAATCCAAGTGCTACTTTTCTTTTGTTATACAAACAGACCAGTAGAGCTACAGTCTCATCAGAGACTTCTGGTTTTGAAGTTAAGGTCAATTCTGAATGATGTTTACATTCTCTGATACGTGGATTTAAATAATGTTCATACTTTATTTTGGTAAAATACACAATGAGTTATTTATGATTTTATTGAATTCTAAAAACAGGATATAGATAAAGATATCTTTTTTATAATTATTTTCTTTTTTTTCCTTTTTTCTGCCTTATGTAAATTCAAGAATACTATTTATTTTAAGAGGTAATCAGATAATAACCTCATTCTATCATTGCTGAAAAAGTTCTTGTTGTAAATTTAGAAGAAAAGGTTGAGAGAGCAGTATAATTAATCCCCTGGGATTAAGTATCTTACTGGTCCCAGAAAAGTTTAGAGGGTTGTGTTTCTGTCACTTTAAGATTAATTAACACCTTTGTCTGCAACAGTTACTGATGTTTGTTTTGAAGTTAAGGTCAAGCCTGGGTGATATTTGCATTCACTGAAGACTGGCATTTTAGAAAACACATGCTTCATTCTTCTTTAAATATACATTTAATTGAGTTATTATAGATTAGGGCTGTCATGAGTACCCGAAATAACCGAGAACCGCGGTCCAAGTTGTTCGGTTCGGTTCCGGTTCCATTTTTCCGGATTTCGGTTCGGGTCTGGTTTATATATTAGAGTCTGTTCAATACAGAAAATGGTGACGAAATCAAAGGAATGATAACGATAACAGTGATAAATAAACATCACAACTAAAAGCGACTTCATTCCATGACAAAACACTTGTCACGGAAGTATTAGATAATTATCAAAACGAGCAGGAATGGTCAGGTTGTGGCTAATAGTAGGCCAAGTCACCGATGTCTAGACGTTCGCATGGTTAAGACTTGTTTTCAATGTAAATTTAATGTAACAAATAAAGATTTTTCAAGTTAAATTCATGAAATTAAGTTTTAAAATAGATGTAAATACCCGACCCGAAAAACCCGGAACCGAACCGAAAATTTACAGAACCGACCCGACCCGAAAAATTTTGGAACCGTGACAGCCCTATTATAGATATGATGTTTTTACTGCCTTATGTAAATACAAGGATACTATTTACAGGTTGAAGGAATATTTAGCAGTTGCTGTTGCTTATTCTTCTTTATATATTTTTAAATTTTTGTAATCAAGTAAAATTCTCATCCCGTAATCTACACCCTTATAATTTCTACCACAGGCACTTGTTTCGGTAATAAATTTTTAACCCATAGTATAGTAATAACACAAGGTATCTAACTCCGAATTACATGGAGTACCCCCCTCCCCCAGAATCGCACTCATTTACACTTTCAGAGGAAATACACTGACGAACTGTTTATACCTATGTTTTCTACGATAATTTATCTACACAACCATATATGGCATGCTTGTCTTTATTTTCTTTAGTCTCCGTAAACAGCGTCAAAACTCTGCTCGCCGTGTGGAAAAGTCGAATTCAACCATGAAATGGTATGTGCTAATCCCGCACAGAGATTTTGATTGGCTAAAAATCTGTTTCTAGAATTACATCGGATAAACATCGTAATGTTTTCAGGGAAAATCAGACGTAAACAAGTTCTATTTACTCATGCAATATTTAAACACTGGAATTGAATTTTTAAACTCACTCATTTTTAGCTCTACTGGTCAGAGACCAGAAGAGCTTATGCGATAGTAAGGTGTCCGGCGTCCGTCCGTCTGTCTGTCTGTCTGTCTGTCTGTCTGTCCGTCTGTCTGTAAACAATTTTTCAAAACGCTACTCCTCCTACAGTTTTGGTCCAATTTCAATATAACTTGGCACACAAGTAGACTACACTAAGATACATAATTTAGTGCATCGGTTTTTGATTTCGATGGACGGTGTTGCCATGGTTACTAAAAATAGAAATTTCTGTGAAATTCCTTTAAAACGCTACTCCTCCTACAGTTTTGGTCCGATTTCAATATAACTTGGCACACAAGTAGACTACACTAAGATACATAATTTAGTGCATCGGTTTTTGATTTCGATGGACGGTGTTGCCATGGTTACTAAAAATAGGAATTTCTGTGAAATTCCTTTAAAACGCTACTCCTCCTACAGTTTTGGTCCGATTTCAATATAACTTGGCACACAAGTAGACTACACTAAGATACATAATTTAGTGCATCGGTTTTTGATTTCGATGGACGGTGTTGCCTTGGTTACTAAAAATAGAAATTTCTGTGAAATTCCTTTAAAACGCTACTTCTCCTACAGTTTTGGTCTGATTTCAATATAACCTGGCTTACAAGTAGACAACACTAAGATACATAATTTAGTGCATTGGTTTTTGATTTCGTTGGACAGTGTTGCCATGGTTACTAAAAATAGAAATTTCTGTGAAATTCCTTTAAAACGCTACTTCTCCTACAGTTTTGGTCCGATTTCAATATAACCTGGCTTACAAGTAGACAACACTAAGATACATAATTTAGTGCATCGGTTTTTGATTTCGTTGGACAGTGTTGCCATGGTTACTAAAAATAGAAATTTCTGTGAAATTCCTTTAAAATGCTACTCCTCCTACAGTTTTGGTCCGATTTCAATATAATTAGGCATACAAGAAGACTATACTAAGATACATAATTTAGTGCATCGGTTTTTGAATTCAATGGACGGTGTTGCCATGGTTACTAAAAATAGAAATTTCTGTGAAATTCCTTTTAAACACTACTCCTGCTTCAGTTTTAGTCTGCTTCTAATATAATTAGGCATACAAGAAGACTATACTAAGATACATAATTTATTACATTGGTTTTTGAATTCGATGGACAGTGTTGCCATGGTTACTTAAAATAGAAATTTTTGTGAAATTCCCATTAAACGTTACTCCTCCTACAATTTTGGTCTGATTTCAATCTAATTTGGCACACAGTTAGAATACACTACGATACATAATATGTATTTCTGTTTTTTTTATTTGGGTGAGTGGTGTTGTCATGGTTACTAAAAATAGAAATTTCCGTAAAATACTTTCAAAACGCTACTCCTCCTACAGTTTTTATTGGATTTCAATATAACTTGGCACAGAAGTAGACTACATTAAGATACATAATTCTATTCATTGTTGCATGTTGCAATGTTTCAAATCCAAGTGCTACTTTTCTTTTGTTATACAAACAGACCAGTAGAGCTACAGTCTCATCAGAGACTTCTGGTTTAATTTTGTTCTCTGTGCGGGATTAGCACATACCATTTCATGGTTGAATTCGACTTTTCTACATGGCGAGCAGAGTTTTGACGCTATTTACGGAGAGTAAAGAAAATAAAGACAAGCATGCCATATATGGTTGTGTAGATAAATTATCGTAGAAAACATAGGTATAAACAGTTTGTCAGTGTATTTCCTCTGAAAGTGTAAATGAGTGCGATTCTGGGGGAGGGGGGTACTCCGTGTAATTCGGAGTTAGATACCTTGTGTTATTACTATACTATGGGTTAAAAATTTATTACCGAAACAAGTGCCTGTGATTTCTACCCCTCGGCGGGGCCCTTGCTGACTGGTCAGATTTCTAGTTGAAATTATTTTCACCATTAAAAATTGCCAGTATTGGTAATTTTTCATTGTACGAAGTAACCTTACCTTTTTTACTGCAAGCTAACAATGTTACAACAACAACAAGTGGCTGAAGAAAATAGTTTGTCCAAATAGGATAAAACAGTATTGAAAGTCAGAAATGACGGATCTGTCCTTTTCCACAGAAAATAAAATTAAAAGCATGAGACTTTATTCGTTTTAGCAAGATAAATGATAAACCTGCATCCTAACAGACATTAGATATGTCACAACAGTCTGTAGCAAATGCGAGATAAACAACGATCAAGATTTATTGTACTTAGAGTCCCAAAATCAATTGTATTTAAAATATAAATTTACATTTGAATATCAACCTCTGTTTGAATTTTAATATGATTGATTGTGTTTTGGTTTCAACAATGAGGGAATACAATGTTAGAAAAAAATGTTACAGAAAGACGCTGACTGTAGCAAATATATAGTTATTGTCGTTATAGGTTTCATGCAATACGTAGCACATTTTTAAAAACGTTTTTATTTTTAATTTAGTGTAAATCATAGTAAATATAGATTTATTTCTCATTAAATAAATATAGATTATTTTGAGAATTCTATTAATCAATCAGAAGTGTATCTTGGATTCATCCAATCATCGATTAATATCTTTTTTCTGATTGCCCACCACTACAGTAACACCCATTTTACCTTAGGAATGTTAAATATTGCTATAATAAACCACTTATTTGTTCTCACTTGAAGGACTTTGAAGGAAAGGATATTGACAATTTATGTGAGACATTGAAGAAGCTCGCCACAGATTCCAACAAATACCGTGCCAAAAAGGACAGGCGCCAGCAGAGGTCAAGCTTTAGAGATGTCCTAAGGGCAGTAGAGGTCAGTGGTATATACTTTAGATTTATTACACAAGGAAGTCGAGACAACTTCAAAAAAAAAATCATAGAAAAATTCTCTGTTTTGCATGTATTGTTTTTAAGTGGATTTGTTTCTAAAAGGTAGTACATAGTACGATCAGTATGGAGTTTTTATTTCAAATAAGTTTCACAAAGTCACACATGTACATGTATCACTTATGACCTGTCATATGTGTAGGTAATGAAATAAGTTTTCACAGGATTTCTATTAAAAATAAAAACCAATGTTCTTTGTCTACAGGAAGGGGATGTACCAGACCTAACAATAAAATTTGGAACCGAGTCTGTGGTGATTGATTCCTGGACCAGGAAGAAGCAGTATGATGCCTTCTGTTTAGTTCTGGGATCTGGAGTTTATCAGCATCTACAGGTGAGTTTATTTTAGTCTTTACCAGGACATGGTAATGTTCAAGGAGTTATAAAGCAATTGACTTGATGTAAAATTGTAGATTCATTAATTTTCTTGTACTTTTATTAAAAAAGTATTTTTACACTCATGCTGGAGCATATGTAGATATATATTTGAGTTCAAGAAAGAACAGAATAAGACAAATTATATGAGATTTAATAAAAAATAAATTTATTTTAAAAATATAAATAGGAAGAAAAGAATGTATAAGGATTATGCCCCTTTGGCATTGCTTGAATTTACATACCATATAACTGATATGATTTTACATAGGAATCATTCAAAGAAAAATTCTGTGCAAGCTCTCAGAAACTAAATTACATGGCCTCTTTCAGGATAACATTGTAGTAAGGGAAGTATTTGGACTAGGGGCACCCATACCTGTTGGCACTAAACCAGTTCAAAAAATTACTAAATGGGAGAGAGTAAGTATTTCTCTACACTTCAACTTAAAAGTATACTTTCACATGTTGGATACATGCACTTTTAGTGTAGATGTATATTCAATTTGGAAAACAATTAATTTAGTCCAAAGACTTGTGGTTGTAGAAATTCATGAAACATACAAAAAAGTGAAATTTGAAATGTTCAACTTTGTGGTCATTTATACCACAAACTTTTATTTCATGCCTTAGCTTTTTGTATAAGTACTGTATGAAATTCACCTGATTTTGATAAATTTTTGGGGGAAAAAAGAAAACATTTCTGATTTTTTTTTGTTTCCGAATTCTTTATGCACAGAAGTTCAAAGTGGAAGATAATTATTTTTGCCTTTTTTATCAGACTCATTACAATGCTGCTGCCTTTAAAGCTCTCACCAAAGCCCGCTCCAAGCACAGAGACAAGCGATCAGTCATGGTAAATGGTGATTGACAAAATGCAAATTAGAAAACTGCTACATTTGACCTATTCAGCTGTTCAGCTGCAACCTTTGAGCTGTACTCCTAATTATCTGTGATTCCGTCATCGTCTGCGGTTGGCTTGATGATGTTATCATCAAATATTGATGTAAAATGTTAGTATGTGCATACACTGGCAACCAGTTATATTGAATTTTTGAAAACCTCTTTAGTTGTGTGCTATATATCTTTATGTATATGAGAAACCACTTATTTATTGAAATCATAAATGTGTTTTAGTTTTCATGATATATGTGTGTATGTGCCATCGTAGGCATGATTGGATCTGTTTTAGAAATGTCTGAGGTTGATGTATTTTTCAATAATTTTATTTTATATCATATGAATGTATTTAGTCACACCCCTTTGAAAAATGGAACAGTTTGAATGTTATTGAAAATAATTTTCTTGTTCCATATATTCCATGAATGAAAGAGCTTCTATTAGATTGTTTATATATGTATGTTGTTAAAATTTAGTAGTTGTTGCAGTGCTTTTTTGTTCATTATTAGAACACATTTTGAAGTGAATTTAGAATGTTACAAGGCTTTCTCAATTTACCATAATTTCACTTGATATGAAATCAAGACAAAATTATTGTCTTTCACTGCCATTCCAAGAGATTTTTTTTCAAATTATTAGTTTTTTGTTTGAATTGCAGTTGGATGTATGTGTTCAACAGAGAAAATATTATAAATACATCATTCAAAGCCATTTTGATATTGAATTTTGCATAAAAACCCCACCCCCACCCCCGCTCGTATTGGTAGGAAGAATTGTATTGAACAATGAACACATTTCTCCTTAACCTGACCAGTTTTGCTCAAAGAATTCTAAATTATGCGACACCTGTTTTCCTGAGATTGGTATTTGGTATTTATAAGTGAGACAAAATTCTGACAAATTCTGGGAATTGTTATATATAATCTATAGTAATAAAAATGTATACAAGAATGACATTTTCTTGAGCAGACCATCTCGGGTAATTATGCCAAAATAAAGTTCTCACAAGTAAAAAGTGATTTACAATATTTACATTTGCACTTTATGCCATATTTTCCCATGATCTATCATTTATTGTCAAATATCATATATTTGGCGAATTTTTATGTTTAGGAGCACTACAAATATTTTCTTAATTAGAATAACGGAGTATTCTTTAAAATTTAACTTGCATTGTGTCCAGGTAGTTTTATGTTAAATAAAGTGTTTTTTGGTTAAAATAAATCATGAATAGCCACAGTTATTGTGTTACCAGAATGAGTAAGTAAATTGTATGATACTTAACATTTGTCATGCTTGAATCAAGTAAATTGGTAATTTAGAGTAACTTTTCAGGAAGAAAATAAATAAACTACTTGGACATAGATGCCAAAGAATTAATGGTGTAATCATGTCCTGCAAAATGTCTAGTTTGATTAATTGTCCACGTTATTAGTTCAGTTATCCAAAGAAATGGCTTTTAAACCATAGGTAATGGGTTCAAAACTCGCTTGTTGTAATCCATAATCTATGTATTGACACATTAATCTTAAAAACAAAAACTTTGGGGGCTATTGGTACACATTGACTTTTTAGTTTACCTGAGCCAAAGGCTCAAGTGAGCTTTTCTGATCATAGTTTGTCCATTGTTTGTCATTGTCGGCATTGGCATTGTCATCATAAACTTTTATCTTTTCCAGAACCACTGGGCCAATTTCAATCAAACTTGGCACAAAGTTTTTGGGGTGAAGGGGATTTAATTTTTTTTTTCAAATGAAGGGTCATACCCCACTCCAAAGAGAGATAATCAATAAAAAGGCAAAAGTATGGATGCTTCTCTTAAAAATTTTAAGAACCCTGGGGACCTGAAAAGATGGAATTTATGTGACGTAATGCAGATTCATGGTTGTTCAAATATATACGGAATATATTACAGAGGGATATATGAGGAATTAATAGCTACTTGGGGTTGGGGGGGGGGGGGATGTGTCCACAATCTTGGGTAAAAAATTATTATTGGAAAAAAGGGGGGAAATATCTTTTAAAAATTCTTCAAAGGGACAGCAAGGCCAAGGTCAGGGTGACTCAGGTGAGCATTGTGGCCCATGGGTCACGGTTCATCATATTTTTGTAGAATTTTATTTTGGACTTGATCATGTTTTACTCCTTTTTTAATCCCTCAAAAGTTGAGTGCTAGCTTATCCATCATACAGTTTGTTCTTGAATATCAAATGATTACAATTTCATGTGGATTCAGACAAATCGAATCTAGAAAAAAATTGTTTAGACATAATTAAAAATGGATTTTTTTTTTCTTTTCTTTAAATGATATAAGCAGTTAATTTGTAATGGAGTTTTCTTTTGAAGTAATTTTGCAATACCACTATGTGCTGTTTGGCAGATTTTATAATTTATTGATGTATTGAATTTGAATTTTGATAATTGACAAAAAATGAATGTTTCAATTTCTAAATATTCTGAACTATTACTAGGACAGATGATAGACTATAATTGTGCTGTTGTCATGGAGATGAATTTCATGCTTTATTTAGTGTATTGAATGTGGAGTGTAAATGTTTCATCCTGTAGATGTTGGAATAAAATGTAAATCCTGCAAATGAATATCCTTTCTTGTATTTTGTTTTACAGTTTAAGTTGCGTTATTTGTCAATTGCCACAAACAATTTTTCTGTAAAACATATGATGAAATGCATATTTAAAACTGTGAGGTACAAATTGTTGAATTTTTATACCCCCGCTCCGAAGGAGAGTGTGGTATACTGCTTTACCCTTGTGTATCTGTGTGCGTGTGTCTAGCTGTACGTAACAAATTTTCGTCACAGTTTTATCAGCAACTACTCTTTGCAGATACTTCAAATTTCCATCGCAGTTTTTTCAGGAACTACTCATCGCAGTTCACGTGAGGGCGCATTGTTACAACGGGAAATGTAATAACAACGCAGAATGCAATAAACCGGCATTTTGCTTTATTACATTTTACGTCGATAGGCACATGCGTGAAATTTAGAAAAGAAATCTATTTTTACTGGCAGGTGTAGATATAGCGGGAAGGGGGTTTCTTGACAATTAAGATTTCATACTGTTTCACAAATCATGTGCATTGCAGACAAGCAAAAATAGAATTCTCTTTCTCTTTCTCTCTTCAACGAGAAAATGGATAGTTTTTGCATGCACATAAAAATACAATGATCAACATACGAGTAACCCCCCCCCCCTTTTCTCCTCGCTAGACACACACACACATGCATTTCTAATTTTCTAACCAATGTACACATGCACGTCGTACATGCATATCAAGAGTTTTTAATGGACCTATGGTCAATCTTCGGTAATTAATGTCAGTGATGGATATATAATACAGACTAATTTATAAAAAGACATGTCAATCAAAGTTTAGTTAATGGTTTATAAGTATTCAATACGAAAGTTAGAAACAGCATTAAAAAAATAAACAATTAGATTTAGTAATGTCCGTAAAAGCCGAAACGTTAAACTTTGTCTCATAGTCATAGATATGTCTATCTAGTGAAGCGAGTTTCCCCATTGTTATATGTTTTAATCAGTTTTGTGATGTTTCGCGTTGAACACAATACAAAAAAAATATTTTGTTTTATTACATTTTGTTGTATTACATTTTGCGTTGTCCTGAACGCAAAAATTAAGTAAGTAAACGCAAAATGTAACAACCAAAAAGTACATTATTACATTTGGCGTTAATCCCAACGCAAAATTTGATAACGCAAAATGTATTAATCCAAAAATCGTGTTATTACATTTTGTGTTATTACATTCTGCGTTGATCTCGACGCAAAATGTAATAGCGCAAAATGTAATGATTCCAGTTTATTACATTTTGCGTTGTTATTACATTTAGCGTTGTAACAGCGCACATTCACATCAGAGCGGGGGTATTTCTAGTGAGTATTGGCTCAGACTTCTTGTGTTTCCTTATTAACATAGAAAAATAAAACCAGATACATGTATACATGTACCACTGGGTAATAAAGAAAGGTTTTCCTATCACATTTTGTCTGGCATCCGTCAGGTCTTTCTGTCCACTTGAAAACTCATATATTTCGTGAAATTTACGGGTAGGGTTCTTAAAAGCACAATAAGGGTTTTGAAAGGGAATTTACGGTATCTGGGAAAAGCCTTTAACAATTTTCTATTCTGAACAGCAAGATCATAATTAGTCTTATTATACTTTCATGTTAAATACTGAAATCTGATTGGTTTAGACGCATTTAACAATCCGTAATGTTACCCTCAGCGTTAGCAACGCACTTGACAACGGGTAACATTACGGAAATGTCACATGCGTTCAAATCATGCGCGTTCACTGTAGAATTCTCAAAACGTCAGTTGTGCGTTTGAAAGAAGCCGAATAAACGACGTCAATAAAAGCTTGCGTCCGATGTAACTTACTTGAAAACAACAAACGACAGACGAAACATCCTTGCGAGTGCAAACTTTAGATGATAAAGGACTTTTTGAGTAGCAAACAAACAATAAAGAGGTTGGTAAATCTTTTCATAAGCTTTCTTATTGAGAAAAATAGAAGCGGGGAGTTTGAAAGCTTTCTAAGCGTGAACTTAACGACGATCTCTGATTTTTTTTTATGACATCCGAAATCAATAAGACATTCAGTATAATAAAATAAATAGTGCACGTTTTTGAAGGTAAAGTTGAAATTGACACCCCAAGGAAAACCATTGTCATCCTCCGCTGACGCGTCGGTTAAAAATGGTTTTCCGAGGGGTGTCAATTTCAACTTTTACCCTCAAAAACGTGCACTATTTATATAATATTAGTAATATTATAATAGTATGCAAGCATACTCGGTTATAGTATGAACAAAAAAGTGTATCAAAGCGGCGTGTCGAATAGAGCGCCATTTGTATACATGTTCTCGCAAGTAGGATGTAATACCAAGTGGGACAAATTCACTTCATTTATATTTGAGCGCTTCTTTACTTTAGGACTGGAATGGAGAGTTGTAAATCACCTGGAGAACACAGTTTACATTTATTTATTTTCAAATTCCCCCTTCCGTATTCCTATTGATGCTGACGTGTTAGAACTTGGAAAATTTTTGTGTCATTATTTTCACAAGAAAAAAATGTCTAGCTATAATACTTGATATGTAGCAACCGCCAATGATACAACGCCGCTTAATGATAGAAATATCATTGCAAATGCAACGCATAATGCAGGAAATTATTGCATTAATACTTGATATTATTAAATCATCGCTATAATTATCTGGTATATCGTTAAGGGCGACAAATGCAGAGCAGCCCCAACGTTTATATCAACATTATCAACCGCTCATGATGTCTCGATATATCCTTATATTAAGTAAAATGAATAAATTTAGCCACGTTGAATTTTTATTATTCGTTCAAAGTTTTTCACTACGTCATATGAAGTGATAAAATTTAATGGAGTTATAAAGGTGGTGGTTGAAAGGAAGAAAATTGAACAACATATATAGGAAGTGTACTATTTATTTTAAAAAAAAAAGCGATTTGTTTTATGCATCATTTTCAACATTACAAGATTTTATTAGTCCAATTGGGCCCCCGGAGAAGCAGCAAAAATTACAAAAAGGGGGGGGGGGGGATCCGAATGATAGAACAACCATGATCTTAGTACATGTATAATAATGAGTTATGAGTTATTTTTCATATTTAACTCATTACAGTTATATTTCATAAAAAAGAAACTAAAGTTTGCAAAAATAAAATTTTCAAGAAATTAAAGTGACCTTGACCTTTTACCTTGACAAAATATTCAAGGTCAAAGATCAAGGATCACATTGCAGTTTACCCATGTTTATACGACTATTCGTTTAAAATTAAGTTTTAGGGTTTAACGATAAGCGCAAAGACATAAAAGGGCAATAACTCACATAAGGGGTCTTGGGGGTCCTTTCACACTGAATAGACTGAAGTTTTGGCTTGTAAAACTAAAGACATCAGTGAAGGTTTGGTGTCTCTTCTACTTACGGTTTCAGAGGAGTAGCGATAGCAGGGTTTAAATTGAACGGGGCAATAACTTTTATACGGGTCAATCTTAGGGGACAAGAATGAAATCTTTGAAATACCTTTAAAAGGACATATGAAAAGTGCAAAGTTTTATTATATATATTAAAAGACAAAAGAGATATAAAAAGAGCTAAATTTCTCATACTCTGAATGACCTTGACCTCTGACCTTGATATAAATTTCAAGGTCAAAAGTTGAAGACTCCATTGCATTTAGTCCTATGTCTCTACAATAAATGGTATTAAAAAGTTTAATTATTTGTAAACATTTGTAAATATATTTGTAAACATAAAAAACTTTCAGGTGCAATAACTCTATAGTGAAACATGAAAGCTGGAAGAGTCAAATTAAGGAATTGAAAAAAAAAAATTAAATCGTATTAATGAGATAAAAAGTCGTTATAACGATGAAAAAAGTCATTATTGCGACTCAAGAAAGTCATAATAACGAGAAAAAAAAATTAATATGGAGAGAAAAAAGTTTCTACGACTTAAGAAAGTCTAATATCGAGGTAAATTACCATGATATAAATCCATCACTTAGCATTTTTGTCCATGGTTTATCGAGCTTCATTAACATTTTGACATTTTTTGCTTCACTGGAACTCAACCAAATTCAAACAATTTAATATATGGCATGTATTGTCAAGGGGGGAACACAATTCTGCCTACTTAGGGACCTAGCTGAGGGATTGGACCAAAGTCATCAAAATTGGCACGATAAAAATATGCTATGAGTTCTATCAAAATTGTGAAATTCATGGTCTCTTGTCTCTAGGATGGGGTACGGTTAGCCATATACATGAATGCGTATTGAAAATACATGACATCTTTGAAAAATATGGATATTAAGCAGGCAATTAATTTACATGTATTAGACTATTTCCTCATTAATAAGTAAATTTTAACACTCTACCAAGATATAATTTAATTGCACAAAAACATGGTGTTAGCTCCAGTTGGGTCTACATTGGCCATACACTGGAATTACATGTACGATGAACTTTGAAAATCTTCTTTATTCATGGATAAGAAGCCGAGAAACTGACTGCATGATAATAATTAACACATATACCCTTTCTAAAATTCATATCCCTGTCCATTGTTCACGCTCTTGGGAGGGGTAAAGTTGGTCATACATTCAAAAAACATCTCACAAGACTTTCCTAAGTCGTCATATCAACGACTTCCTCTCGTTACATGTATATATAACAACTTTTTATATCGTTCTTTCGACGGCTTTTTATATCGTTATAACGACCTGTTAAAGTCATAATAACGACTTTTTTCTTGTTATTATGACTTATGTCGTTATTACGACTTTTTAATCTGGTTAGTACGATTTATTTTTTTCATTTTCTTATTTGCTTTCGTACTTTACAATTAGACTATAAAGGATATATTTGAACACTGTACTAACGTTCTTGACGGTAAAATGGATAGAAGTGCAAGTTATAAAAATTTAAAAAAAATGCATATCAAAAGTTCATTACAGTTTGTATAGAAACCACAGGTATCACATGCAGCAAATGAAAAACCTACACTATTGGAAACA